CGGTCCATCGAGAAAATTATGGAGTTCAATGCCAAACATTCATATGGCGTTTGATGTGACCGAAGCGGCCGAATTAAAGTGCATTCCGTTACAAGTTTTGGCCGAGATTGAAAATGGAACCATACTGTAGGCCTGTGTGCACATTTGTTTAGATCCTGTAATAATAAATGCAATGCTGGAACAGCCCGCGGTAACAACGGCCGAACTTAAAAAACGCCGTACGTTGTGGAAAAGGACTAAACAATTTGTCCATTTTTTGTTTTGCTGCGCAAAAAAATAATATAATTTATAATGTCTGAACTTATGATTGCGATACCTATTTAATATATTAGGATAATTATTGAAAATAGTATTGACTTACACAATTAAACGTTTTATTATTTAATTTTATTAGTTTTTATTTGATGTATTGTTATTAAATAAGGCCAACGCGCATTTGTAAAAATGTTGACAATGTGAAATATAGTAAAAAAAAACCTGCGAAAATCCTTTGTATTGATTATTTTTAAACTTTTTTACAAGTTAATTCTATTCTAATATGCTTAAATTATATACATTTATATCACATACCTATACTTATGATTCTTGAACATTGTCAACAAAGTATTTAAAATGACGACGAATATAAAAAAAAACCAATGCATATAATTATATAAACCTTATAAAATTATTATTTTGTGTTTAGATTGGTTCTAAAATCTATTTGTAGGTATAATAAGTAATAACTAGTACAAGTACGATGTACGAAAAAAATGAAATTATTTAAATTTTTTAAATTTTATGTAGGTATTAAATAAAAAACGTTTTTGTAGTTCTTGCATAAATGTGTACATGCGATTATCAACAAATACAATTTTATTTTAAATTAATAAGTAATAACATTGCTGTATAATGTAAATACTCGTCAATGTTATTCGTTTTGTTTTTTTTTTTAATAATACAGGAAGGATTAAATTTTAGCAAGAAAGATATTTTTATTAAAGTAGGTTAGGCCTATGAAGCAAATGTGCTGATGCAACAAAAATTGTGTAATATATAACGCCGTCAAACAACAGTGCAGGGGACTCCGGGTCAGTCCGGGGAATCCTGGTCGGTCCGTGGTCGTCGAAGTGTTCGACGAGATATGGAAGAACTACAGGAATATTTTTGTAAATAGTGTTTTTTTTCTTTTTAATAAATTGTGTTTCCGACCAATGATTGTATAATTTGTTTGAGTAACCACACTATTCTGTCGTACTCTTTTCTTTCGATAGAGGTATATCACACTTGAAAGGTGAATATACGATGACATTTACATATAAAGGTAGTGATTAACGGTTAATCATTAACCAATATACCTAAACTGTCATATACTTATTTTATAGGTACGTATATATAGTCAATAGTAATAAATGGAGTAGTAGAATAAAATTAACAACGAAAAAATTATAATTGTTTTCTTAAGTCGAAAAATCAACAGTGGTTACTGACTTCTGTTATATTATAATAGTTTGACGCGATTATTTTAACGCTCAAATTAACCTTTACAGTTTTTTTTTTGCGTTTTCGGTTATTTATTTTTTCCATTATTGAAACAGTTAAAAATTATTATACAATGATTTAGTGTAAATATTGTGTTATGACTAATGATGTATATAATACTAATATATATTATAGTCAATGAATCATTAAATAAATCATAGGTAAACTTACAATTTCTGTTTATGTTGCATACTGGTATTACGAACTTTGTTCATAAATAGTTTTGCAATTTTGCTATAGCACCACAATTATCAATATCCTAGGAAACTATTTTAAAATAATAATAAAAATAAGATATTTTTGTGATGACCAAAAACAGTACTTTCTAATCAACCAATGTTTTACTTGTAAGTTGTGTTTGTAACTTGAATAACTAGAATTGAAATTTGAAAATTTAAATAGGTCTATTCTTTACCATAAATAATAATTTAAATATCTGTGTTTACTTTGAATAAAATATGCATAAAATGTATTCATAACCAATTTATTTTTCAAAAGCTAATACAACTTATATAGACTTACGGTCTCCAACTCTGGGGTAACGCAAACAAATCGAATCTAAACAAAATCCAAACTGAACAAGATAAAACCCTACGAATCATAACTAATGCCCCATATTACATATTACTAATCTATCTCTCAATACGGATTTAAAAATTAAAACCATCCGCACGAAGATGTCATTATTTACTTCAAAAGATATCATACCAGACTCTACTTACATCCAAATCTCCTTATAGTTAGCCTATCATTTCTTTCAATACCTGGTGATTTTCCAAGACGGCTAAAAAAAAAATAGTGTAGAGATATGCTAATTAATGTAAAAAAAAAAAATAAAAATAATCAACAAATTCTGTCATTACTGGGTGGCTTCTTTCTTCATATTTTTTTTTCATATTCTTCACTCTGTAGCAAATATTCTTATTGTACTCTAGGCCCTAGGGCACAGTTTTTATATAACGTGTAATAATAATAATAAAAAAGCCAATATAAATCTATGTAAGCAAAATTCTAATTAGCATCAAGGTGCACATCCGCTGGCGTTGGATTACCTGCAATAACCAATGTATCAAATTTCAGAATCATTAACATGAATGCATGATAAACTTTGCTGTAGAGTGTATACAACGCTTAGACTACACACACACACACAAACATTGTCTTTTATTAATATAAATACTTAGATAAACAAGTAAATAAGATATTTTAATATCTACATTATACATATAAGGTAGGTATTAAGATGGGGTATCATTTGTTCCTGTATTTCGAAAGGATGATCACAGCAAAATGGCCAAAATGTGAACACATCACAGTAGATATATGAGTATAGGTATAAATTCGTATAATATTTTTTTGTAGATGCATTGATGACTGATATAATAAATATTGATTTTTATAAAATATTTTCGAGTTTAAATTCATCGATGCGTTCTCTTTGTAGTTTGTACAAAAATCTACGTGTGATAAAGAATCCATTAAAAACCAACGAAAATAATAGTAATGAACATAAAACAAATGAAATTTATACTAATCTAGTTAAATTACATAGGTACCTATATTATTTAATTGACTACCTACGGTGACACGGTGTATAAGTAATTGTGTTTTTTACAAACATAACATATTGGGATCTACATTTTCATAGGTTTCATTTACCTCATCTTCAATTTCAATATTGTTATCTCTGTCTCCAATGTTGTCTGTAGTTTTTCAGTCTACGCGCATTATAAGACCTATATAGTATTTATGCTTTCCGCGAAAAAGAGATTTACCTAACTTGATCACATAGTTATGGTTGCCCATTATTTGCCGTTTTGTAAAAAGATCATCAACATTTTGATATAAATTGAACCTGTTTAAATTGTAATTGTGAATTTGCCTCGTCTTGTCCATCAAAAAATTAAATTTACCAGATCTGGTAACCAGAACCACTCAAGTTCAATTATTTCTGATAAACATAAATTACTATGACAGACGGCAGTGGCCATTGAGATCCCTGTAAGTAAAAAAGGATTTTTAACCTTAACATATCGACTGATTAATGATTATACGTTTGAACGTTTCAACGTTTGACATCTTTAGATGTGCATTTCAACGTCGTAATATTTATTAATGTACCGCCAAAATTAATTTTTATACTAGCTTTTGTTTCTTTTATATCTCTGTATCCCACTACAAATGGTGTTATTTTTTATTTTAGTATACAAACTACAAAGCCTCATCTCCCGGTATTGTCGTAGATATTCAATTTTTATTTTGTTAGAACAAAAAATAGTAAATTCAAACAGAAATGGAGCATTAAGCGATACTAAATACATCAATATAGAAAAAATCATTTGAAAAATTTAATTTTAAAGATAAATTATTATGAAATTATAAATCCATACCTAGTCTATCATTAAAAAATGTATTTTAATCGGACATTGATGTGAGGTTCAACAGGTGGATCATTTATCGCTTCGACGTCATTACTATATTTTTGATTTTTATAAATGATTTATCAAAAATAATTGTCCATTTAATTATTAAAATAATATATTAATATTCGCTATTGACGCAAAAACGTTCAAGGAAATAAAGAATTTAAAAGATATAGAAAGTCTATACGTATAGGTATATTTAAATAATATCCAGGATTAGTGTACTAAAGATAATTTATGAATAAACATAAACAAGTGTATTAATTTATCTTTTTCACAAAAAAAAATCTATTATTTAAATAATTTAAAAGTACAAAGGTCAAAATACAGTGAATTATATTTATGTTTATATTATCTTAATCTGCGTGCTTATCTTTTAATGAATTTTTGTTACAATTAAAATCTGATACATTTATTATTGACTATTACTCATTTTTTTGGTTTACTCTTATATTTAAATTATCAGTGCCGATTTCAGGACATTTGATGACCGGGACTAATAAAAATTCAGTGCCTTTATACAAATGGAAGTATGCGTTATATTAGGTTTCAAGTTTTAACATAAAACAACATTTTAAAATACAAATCAAAATTTAATTTTTAATTTTTATCCACACATTAAATTATTATTATTGTAATATATATTTTTTTTATAAGTACTTGAAAAACGTGTTATTTGGTAGGTCACTATTATTTACTATTATATGTATAACATCGATTTGTTGTTTTTACTCTAATATTTTTAAATTTATTGTCACTAAACGGTCTAAACGTATTTTAAATCAGAATACATTTAAATCAATAAATATTATCATTATTATTATTATTTATTTAATAAGTAATTTCTTAATTCGGTGGGTTGAACTAATTTTTGTAGATTAAATGCATATAGCAATTAGTAATATAAAAAATGCAGATTTAATAAATGAATATCTAGTTAATAGTTTAAAATTAATCTAAATTTATAAAAGATATTTTTAGATGAAAAAAATTATAGAATACTTACCTAAATAGTAAATATTGGCGAACAAATTATAGTAGGCACATAATTGCAGTACATAGTACATACTACATAATGGAATTTTATTTATAAACGATTAATTATTATTTATTATTTATACCCCTTACAGGCTTACAGTACTTCTTTAATTTAAGATCGTGATTTAGGAATCTAATATTAAATATTAATCCGTGAAACATATTATCTACGGATTATGAATTAAGAAGTAAGATTATTTTTCTTCCATTATCAAGAAATTGTAAATTTTGATGATAGTCATCAAGAATTGATAAGAACGTTTATCCTAGGTGTAAGGTGTAACTGTATAAGTACCATTGATCTATTCTATAATCAATGATATTATTCTATGGTAGTGTGGTCCTATCCATTCTAATATTAACTACTATGTGTGCACCCCTCAGTGTTTTAATTCTTGTTTTCTTCAGACGTTTTTTAGATGAATAATAAGTTTTCTAATTTGTATACACATTTTATCCTACAGTCTTAGTTTTGACGTCTGTTTTCGACTGCACACATGCCAAAAGTATTGATGACTGGTAGATCCCGAAAACGTAACACTAACGACAGATTTCACTATTTCAATTCTCGTGAGTATACCATATAAATTGACAAATTAACGATTATATTGAAGGGTTTAATGGTAAAGTGCTCGGAAAACTATGAATTATTAAAAATTTGATTAACTTAATATTTACTATTAACATACTCGCTGTTTTCATTCGAACACAATATTGAAATATACCGTTCGGCACTCCTTAGATACCTACCTATGTCAAGATGACAAAGATAATTCCATGCCAGCTATTTCATCAGTATCCTCCATAAACATTGTTACATTTTGGTTACTGTTGTAATTGGAATTATTTATTTCTGATGACTTTGGTTTGAAAACATGGAATCGTTTAGAAGATTCCTGAAATTTAAAATATTTATATTATAGCTATAGCATACAGTATGATTCTTTATCACCAACCACTCAACATATTAAATATCTAATATTTTATGAAAATCTTCTAAAAATATTTTGCTTTAGAATATGTGTTTAATGCATGTTGTTCAAAAGTTACAATATATTTTATTTTTATTTTTACTGTGAAGGAAGATTCTGTATTTAGAACATGTATATATGTGGTGATAATTTGTCACTAAAAACCCAGATGGTCATCCATCTAGGAGCAACACCGACCAATGTTTGATCTCAGAACATGTTAGTAACTGAGGCCAACCACCATGTCATATTAAGTTATTAAAAATATATATTTTTTAAAACATTGTTATTTTTAATTGAAATCATGCAAGAACATTTTTTTTTTAAAGTGGTTCATGATAAAACATTCACCTACTATGGTTAAATTCAAAACATAAATTAAATTACTAATAATAATTCTTCAGTGACTATTGTTATAAAAAACATATCGCTAATTATACTCCAACCACTTCCAACTGGCACTATACAGAATGTTCTACAGAATGATCGGAATACATGCTTGTAATTTGTCTTCAGAAAACACACCATTGAGTACAATCTGAACCATTGCAGTCTGGAAAAAAATTAAAACAAAATTATTCATTAATATTGCTTAAATTACAAATATTTTTATTTATCTTTTTATCATTAAAAAGTGTAATTACAACCTATATATAAACGTTTATACAATAGGTAATTTTTATAACAGTTTAAAGTAATAAGAAATTACCGAGTTGAAAGATATTGAGAAGTACCACCCTACTAACTTATATTATTAAAAATAATTTTAATAGCAAGATACTCACAGTTGCCAAAGGAACATCAACTATGAATGAGTCAAGATCATGCTTGGTTTTAGGTAATTCGTCTAAACAGTTAATTATGTTTTCTTTGCCTTTGTGTAAAAAATGACGTCTTCCTTGTTTGTGTCTGTTAGATTTTAAGAAATTTCTACTTTCATGTAAGTATTGTGATAAATTTCCTTTAATACTAAATTTAAATAAAATTTAAATTATTTAACAGAAATACTTAAATAGATATTTTTATTACCCATAAATAATATACCTACTGTTTAAATAGAAAACCATTGGATAATGTAAATGTAGCATTTTCATGGTAAGCTTTTGAAACCATTTGTCTAGACACTTGATTATCATATAGTTCATAATAAAGAGTGAGAAAAGATTCAACTAAGGTCATCACAGGATTTGGCAGTTCAGAATTATGACCTCCTGGTACTGGGTAACAATTACCCAAGTTAATTGGCATTTTGAACTTGGATCTTATCGTACTGTACCGAGACGGTAGTTCTGAGTTATCCTGAAAACAATTAAACAACATTACCCTACATCCTAAATATAACAACTTAATAAATATATAGAGGATTTAAAATAAAAAAATTTCTCTTGTTAAGTACTAAATTCATTCTTGATGGTAAGGTAATAAATCAAAAATCTAAATACTTCTTTTAACTCAAATGTAGAGCATAAATTACTTTGAATTAAGTGTACTGATTGACAGATATATATATAAATACATTTTTTATTGCTTTTCAATTATAATATGTATTATTCTTATAAATAAACTTTATATTCAACAAAAGTTATGAGATCAAATTATTTTGTTTAATTAAATGCATAAAAAAAAAAAACATCGAATAATTTATTTATTTGCTGATGTAACACCTATTAAAAATACACAAATACATGCTTTAATATGTCAAAAATATGTACAAGGTTCAAGTTCTATCAAACAACCATAGATCAAATGCATTTTTTTAAATGTATCAAAGTAATTTCAACTCTTTACATTTAAGATTCAAACCAGGTAAGATGTACTTACTTTAGACATGTTACCTCACAATACACCAAAAATAATTAAAATACTGTTAAACTAGTACTCTAAAAACATCAGTCTTCTAATTCTTTGCCAACATTTAGCATTCAAATGAAATAAAATTAAACAGATAACACTTACCAACTTAGTTAGCATAGGAAAACATTGTTGTATATCTCTAAAACAGATATAGTATAAATATCCTGCTTGTAATGCTCTTTGTCTTTGATATCGCACACAGGATTTCTTGATAAGTTCAACACTTCAATAGTATAACCACTATAACCAGAGAGACACCTTAGTTCTTTTAAATCAGAAAACTGTAATAAAAATTGTTTAGTAATTATTTTGTTTAAAAAAAAAAATGAAAAATATAGAACACATTACTTCGTTCTCAGCCAAATCCAACACTTACAGTTCAGGAAACAATCTACATATCCATATAAGTCCTTCACCTAAATAAATATGATTATTTTCAAAACTCAAACCATACAAATCGTGTTTAGTATGTTGAGCAGCCATATTGAGTGCTACCAAAAGAACTGCTGGTCGATTTAATGGTACAAACAGTTGATTATTGGTAAATACTATAATAAAAATAAATATATTTTTAAACTGTAATTAAATTAATATAAAATAATTCATTATGTACATGGACAAGCATAAAAACGTGACAAATCCAAACTTTTGGTACTGGGATTGTAATGGGTTGCCATAGCTTCTATCATTTTTTCCCTTATTTTACTGGATACTAGTGTAAATGATATTGCACCACGTGGAGGTGAATACAATAACACTTTTATAATTAACTAAATACAAATATTTTTGTTAAAATCCATTTTTAAAACCCTAAAACTGAATCATTTCAACTTACTTTTCGATCATCTCTTAGTGTTATCTTATAACTAGTGTTGTGCAATGCTTTAGCAACTTTATAATCATCAACAAGAAATCTTAATGCATTATCAAAATATTGATAATTTTAATACTTTCTATTAGGATATTAATAGCATATAAATAGCATACATTATATGGATAAAATTCAACAGGTGCGATATAATTTTGGATTATTTGTAAGACTTCATCACTATCTTCAACATTGGGTACCTTAAAAATAAAAACAATAATAATTCAAATATGTAAAATTCATAAATTAAAAATTGAAACTTACATAATATACTGAGTACCATCCAGTACTACTTTCTTTTAAAGACCATGAGTTTCTGAAGTTATCATGTTACCATGACCATTGCGATTATGATTTCTATTAGGAAAAACCTATTGGATTACATATTTATGGCTATATTGAATTTAAAAGCAATAATAATTCAAAATTCAAAATATTTACCGTCGGCCAGTATTATTTTTAGGTGATCTACATCGATTAAAAAATTCACTATCCAAATGATCACGAACCAGTTCAGTTTTATTATCCCAACTTTTACGAAAATGATTACCTCTGCAGTTATTTGCTTTGAATGTCACCTTTTTAGTACAACCATAATGATCTGAATACCCACCACCTCCTCGACTAGTGCTAGGCCTTGAATTTTGATCATCATATTCATTATAATATTCATTTCCTATAATTTAGAAATCTAATGATGAACAAGAAAGTGATTAGATTAACGCATTTTGTGTGAAACTGTATACAAATGGTTTAAATTTTCAAACAAATTTGTACGTTTACTTATTAGTTCATATTATTTATGAATGAAAACCTTTTTTATTTGTTAATCAAAAAGTTAGATATCTTAGATAAATTATTTAAATTATAACTGCTATTTTAAATTAAAAATTGTAGTATAATTTTTCTCCGACAAGTGCACTGTATTTTTGTTAAAGGACTATCCAAGGAAAATTAGAAAAAATGTTATTATGGTATATTGTGGAACAACAATAATTATGAATTTTGATAAAAACAATTTTTCATTAATTATTTGAAATTTGCTCTGTTTTTTATCGCTGTTTTAAATTGATGCGTGACGTCACAAGTTTATTCATCGGTTGGTCGCCCGCCTATTTTAATACATTCATTTCCTAAAAAAGTTTTTATTCATATATTTATATACTAACTTAAAATACTCAAAATGAAAAACGATTTTCATATTACAAAATCTTAAATATTTTCCTACGACTTAATACTAACATCTTATTGTAACAGTAGCGTATTTACGGGGGGGGGGGGTCAAGGGAATAAATCCCCCCATAGGCTGTATACACACAAATAAATTATAGTCTTCATATTATTTAAAAATTATTATTTTTTTTTTTTTTTATATCAATAATTGATTAAATTTACAAGAATTAAAATATTATAATATATTGAGTCATATCCCCTCCCCCCCCATGACAAAAACCTAAATACGCAACTGCATCTTGTTAACATTCACCCACACCCAGCTACCTACCATTATCTTCTTTTCAGCAACCCACATTTTCATCTTACTAGCCTTTACCAATGAATGTTCCTATGCACAACAGCTATTACCATATCAAAAAGGCATACAGATATCCGTTCCACATATCTCACAAATATCACCTTCTGCTACTCTAAGTTTCCAACTAGACTCACAACAGTAGTCAATTGCTACTTTTCCTATGTTTAACACAATATCACCGTCAACTCCTGCCTCCTTGACTGTAAATCAATTATCTACTGGAATGCCTATAAATGTGATCAGCGATGTTAATGTAAATCCTGAAAATATATCCATGGTTAAGAGTTTTTCAAATGAGTCTGGAATGAATAATCAGTGGGCTAAAAAGTAAGTCATTACATATGTTTAATCGGTACTAGTCTGTTATCGCCCCGCCACGGGAATGAAAAATGTTATCGCCCCGCCAATTACGCACGCAGCTATACTATTTAAAACGTAAATAGAAATTGAAATATATATATATATATAGGTACATACAGTGTATAGAAATATCAGAAAAAATCGTTTATTTAAAAAAAATCATCAATTTAATTCGTTAATTCATTAATTATTTCCAAAATTATATCATTAAAAAAAATATGTAATATATAAAATAAATCTAAAATTTAATAAAATTTAAAAATATATAGATAAAATAAAATAAAATTACAATAATTACTATATCATGATGGAGGCCAAAATGCTAAGATATCCAATAAAATCTGTTCAAATGGATCATTCTGATTGGTAAGTTTTGATCGCCACATATACTCTGCCATGTATGAGTCAAGGAAATTTCGAGCTGTTCCGCGACGTCGTTTGTTGCCCCATTTTGCAGCACCCCACATTCTTTCCACGTTTTGGGTGTGAACTCCAGTAGAGGGGTCGACAAAGTTGTACTTGTGATTGACTTGATTATGTTGATAACCTAATTGTTGAATTTTATTGTACGATCTCCAGCTGTCCAAAAATATTATGGACCCTGGGCGAATAAACTTTTAGATTAATGGTAGTAAAATTTTTTCAGACCGATCAGGTACACACACAATGAAACATTCTTTAGTTTCTCGGCAAATGCCTCCAAATACCCACTGTTGAGGAAGTATACGACCTGCATTGTTTTTTCTACGTACAAATAGGCTTTCGTCAATTTCCACAATTAAATTAGGACCACCAATTTCTTTATTACCAATTTCAATTTTCCAAACGCACACTTCACGTAAATAATTATTCCAGTCAACAACGGCGCTTTTACTCATTCCAAACTCACGTTTACAATACGATACAGAGGTCATTTCATAAGCCCAGCAGTATATGTAGTATACTATTGTATGTATTGGTAATCTTGAACCACTTAGCCAATTGTTGGTTCTTATACCTTTTTCTTTTCGGCAAGTTCTTCTCTGACAACGCCATCGAGATCCTTTTATGGTCATTTTTGCACTTTTGAGTTTGTAATAAAACATTTTTCGTTTGGAGAAAATTAATAGTAAAATCTTCATTAGAGACTTCGGAATACAAATCTTTTAAATTCATTTTCAACTACTGCAATATATACTTCGACACTGATACGGGCAGAGCTTTAGACATACTGGACATACTGCTAAGTAAAATTACCTGAACTAATAAAATAAAGCGATGAAGCTTCAATTGTCGTAGATATAAATAAAAAATAATGTGTTTGATATGGTTCGTAATCGCCGCGTTCGTAATTGGCGGGGCGATAACAGACCAGTACCGTTTAATCTTATTAATCACAATATTAAAATTGGAAGTATTGTTAATGTTGAACATAGTTTGGGAAATATCTTCATCTGATATTTACAAATTGATAATAATATAATATTAGACTTACCTTGAAAATTGTTTTCTAAATTGTTTAGACCTGTAGTTAAGTTTTTTGTATTTTTTATATATGGTATTATTTTGCACAGGTGTTTAGACGAAAACGGATGGGATTATGCTAAAGCTGCTGCATGCTTTTCAGATCTTAAAGCTAATATTCCACCTGTAGCTTTCATACATTAATGAGCATAATTTAATATAAATGAGTCTTATACAAAGCAATGAGTGTATTTATTTTCATGATGTGACATTTTTATTAAATTGTTTTGATATATTTAAATTATTTTAAGAATGGAAAATATTGCTCTTTGAATTTCTTTAAATTTAAAAAATAAATATTGACAGTAATTGATTGTTGATTGTTTAATTAAATGTGGAATTTTTACTCATTTTCAATATTAAAAAACAAGTATTTATGTATGTGTAATAGAAGTTGTATTGGAAATAAGATAATTATTCAATTTTTTTTTTATGCATTTAATTTAATAAAATAATTTGAGCTCTTTTTTATGTTGAATGAAAGGTTTACTTATCAGAGTTATAATTGTTATAATTAAATGACAATAAAAAATGTATTTATATATATTTGCTGTTAAGAATATATTTTACCTATGTCCTACTTTTGGGATATTTAAACTCTTAAACTCTATAGTATTTTCCACTATAAAAACTAGTGTTTTTGGACTTTGAATTAATATTTTTTTTAAATTAACTATTGAAGAACATTTTCTAAACATCAGATTTTGTTTGTTTTAAAAACAGGTTTCACATCTAAATTTTTTTATTTATTAGATAATTCAAAAGATTTTTTTTTAGTAATATGTTACATACATTATTTTTATACCTTTTTTTAGAAATAATGGCAAATGCATATTTATTAATCGCTATGATTAAAACTCTGAAATTACCTATAGTACTAAAAAAGTGTATTTTTGGTGCTTATAATATATGCTCTTAAAAACATTAAAATTAGCACTAAAAATTGTTAAATAATATGCAAAATAGAATTACCAGGCAAATTTTTAAATTTATTTTTATTTTATATATTTTTACCTTTATACTAAGGTTTTATATCATGATAATAATTTTTATCCGAATTGTAGTTAGTGCCAGAATTGATCAACCCATAATATGCACTCGTTCCATATACAAAAAACCCATGATGACGACACGTACTACATTCAAACACTTTTTTTATCATGTATATGCAAACCACGGCTAAAAATCAAAACAACGCAGTACTCAAGTCTCACCCTAAGTGTTATGACAAATAATATTATATTTGTGTTGGTAGGTACCTACCTACCGAAGATACTGCAGCAACACGGTTTTTTTACTTGTTTTTATCTACAATTTTGGCGTACCTTTACTCGTTGGCAACACACTCGCATACATTGCGAAGTATAAATATTCGCTGCGCGTGCCAGACGAACCGAAAGAAACTTGAAACACACAAATCAAAATGTATAATATCATATCGCGGTGATGGTCGAACTCGATGTTATAATATATTGTTTTATAGCTTCGAATAAGACGATTGAATAGGTACTGCCGTTGTGTGCGGACGAACTTTAGCACGTAGTAAATTACACAAAACGCAAAGAAATGTAGCTGGAGAAATGTGTGACAACGGCTTGCAGAAATGGTAGTTAACCTCTGTCCACGATGATACGATAATTACGATATGTCGATTTACGTTGTATCATTGATTATAGTCTATTCTATAATCAATGATAAGTACTAACTACTAAGTAGTAATATCGCTAGCCGCTAGGCTATAATGCCTATTGCCTACTAATTACAACTCGATTTCTTGAATTTGTCATATTATTTTTGCTTATCATGTTCATATATTTTTTATAGTTTATTTAATTTATATTTTATTATTAATTATATTTTTAGTTTACCACTGTTAAAGTCTCCAGTAGTTGAATTTTTAAATATGAATGATAATAACGTTTTTGGTAAATCTTTCAAAACGTACCTAAGTGATACTGATAGTTCTTCAACTCATTCATCATGTGAATGTAACGATGTCAATTCAAATGTGTAAGAAAAAATTATTTTCATAGTCAAATATTTATTACATAATACTTATTTATTTCTTCAGTTCGGATTTTGAATGGGAAAATGAAATAACTGATCAGGGAGAACTGTTTTATGTTAAATGTTCACCACGAAAACATATAAAATATGCCAAACACAATAAAATTGAATCAAATGATACACCAAAAAAAACCAAAACCACTGCAGGGAAATTGGTGAAGCTTTTGAAGCGTAAGAAAAGGGGTAGAGATAGAAATGATGGTTCTAAACATACTGCAAATTCTAATAAAGTCACTTTTTTGGACACACAAGTATAAAATTCATATCTTAGGTAAAATACGGATGTGAGTAAATACATATTTTTAATTCTAGGAAGGTGAGGTGAGAGAAGTGGCTATTGAAGTTGAAAATGATACTTATAGTAATCTCGGGAGAAGAGCTACTTTGACTGAAAAGCTACTGGGCATATCAACAACAGTTTTTGATGATGGTTTGCGTATAATGGTAGCATCAATTATTCCAAATACACCTGTTGATAACCAGAGATCTATAAAAATAGGTATTATTGTAATTTAGTATATATCTGTTATATCTGAATAAAAAGTGTACTATTATAATATTATATATAGGAGATTGGCTTAAAATTATTAATGGAGAAATTGTCACAGCTAAAACTTTAGACCAAATTCTATCAAACATAACTCCACCAACTACAGTAATATTTTATTAAACATAATACTGAATAAACAGGCTATAGAGTCTAATTTATATTACTATTAGGTTATGCTAGTTGTTCAAAGAGTTGCAGTTAGCTTAGTTGGTGTTGATAAACACAATAATCAACAGTTATCAAGTTATTTATCATTGAAGACTATTAATGATGAATTTGTGTCAGAACTTGCTAAATATCCTGTGGCTGTCATGTACTTGATATCTGAAAATTCAAATGCTATTTATGTATATCCTAGCCCATTATCTATATTCAATCAAATTAAAGGAGCTTTTCAAACTATTAGCCATATTGTTCCGCAGATTGTCAAAAACCAGACTAAAAGGTAAAACAATAATTTAAAAATTATACATTTTCTTTGTATTATTTTATGTTATAGTACATCAATGATATGTGATGATCAGCTTGTTCATTCAATATTTTTCTCTGAAGGACAAGGAACGTTTATTTTTATTGCACCAGATTCAAAGTAAATAATGTATGGTAGGAATAAACACAATATATTTATAGATATATTCTGTTGTTTGATTAGATTAAACTTAACCTATGCTGATTGGATGGCTTCAAATATAGTAAGAAATTTATGTTTCTGCTATGAAAATTTAAATAGGTAATTTATTTACCTCATACCTTTAAATGCATTTTGTTTTATTACGTACAAAATACTTTAATTTTTAAAATTTTAGTTGCTTTTCAAATGAAGATAATCATTGTTCATTAGATAAATACTTTACAATCATATTCTCAGAGTTATATGATATTAATATGTTTCATAATATAGAAAATTCTCACGAGCTTGAAAAATATTTACCTGCCTCTAAAAATATTCCTTTGCCAAGAAGTATTCAAGTAAATATACACCTTATTTGTATATCTAAATACACAATTTGTATTTTTTTTTTTTATTTATTTAGATGGAACTTGATGATATATTAAATGAATTTGAAGCCAATTATGTAGTATGTATTTTTATACAAATATTTTAGTATTTACAACATAATTACTTTTATGATTTTTCATTAAAACTAGTATGAAGACACCAGAGAACCAAGACCATACTTGATTATTGGTTCATCAATTTATTACAAGGTAATTAAACTAACCCATTAAAATTGCATTAATTGAATTATAACACTTTATTATAGGAATACTTGTTGTCATCTCATTTGAATTATGAAGATCATTTGGATATTCACATGTTTTGTTTACAAAATGGATTGTTTCATTTGCTTAAATCAGAATACTTAGAGCGTTTAATAATATTTAAACGAGTGTATCCTTCATCAGTTAGATCAAATAGTACATTTGTTGGTTCTGTGTATACACTGCCTAAAGCTAAATGGTATTTATTAATAGTTGGACGTGGAAATAATCTTTTGGTAACACTCCTTGAAGTTGGTCCTTGTTGTTTAAAGTAAAAAAAAGTTTAAAAAAATAACTATAATAAATAGTAAGGTTTTATTTAATTTTTATTTTTAATACAGTAATGAAGCATTTGATGGACCCAATGTTGAATATGTGGAAGAAGCTGAAGATACATTAGAAAATGTTTTGAATATGAATGTTGATGAAGTAGCGGAAAAATTGGTATTATATAATACAATAACATTAACTCGTCTTTAGTTAAGCTATGGTTAAAACAAATCCTACAAACACCTATGTATTATTGTTTACTTAATTTAAATGACACATGTTAAAATTTATGTATTTACATCATATACTCTAAGCTAATAATTCTATCAGACATTTAATTTGACCAGCACTGTTAAGTGTTAACTTAAAGTGAGGTACAATGTTATTTGTTAAACATTTTACATCTATTTATTTTGGATCTCATTAACCTTATAATATTAATACCCTGGTTTTGTTCAGTTATAAAAATAGAATATTTTGAATATTGAACTATTGCAAGAAAGTTTATCATAATTTGAAAAAATATTGAAAAGTTTATTCATTTTAACTTAAATTACATTTTACAAGCAATATTTTAATTTTTGATAATTATGTTACAAATATCATAAATAATAAAAATTTAAGTTTGCATTCGTATAATTTAATAATGTAACATAATGTGTAATTCACATCACTAATAGCTTTATCGATTTACATAATATTATATTTTTTTTTTGTAGGATTGAAGGTAATATAATGCAAATATACCAAATGGAAAACATAAAAAATGCAGGATTAAGCATTTCTGCAAATAATAAACAATCAACAAGTAATTTATTTTTTTGAATTCTTTGTTTAGTTTATAATAAATAATAAATTCAATTGTTTTAGGTTTGCAATTAAAAAAACCAGAAATAATTTCTATATTAAAACATAAAAATGACATCACATCAAATTCACATTTGCTTAATGGTTAGATCCTATATATATTTCAATTGAAATATTATATTGTATTAAATAATTTAAAATTATATTATAACAGATTCTAGACAGTTGGATTCATGTTCAGAAACAAGTTTAACGAGTAGTGGAGCGCCTAGCACAGAAGATAGTACATATGTGCAAGGTCCAGTGTTTGGTCGTCGAGCTGAACGTTTGATGAAAGCTTCGTCAATTGAGTGGTCTGATAATTCTGATGATGAATATACCGTTTCAGTAATATTATAAATGGTTTTTTTAGTAAATACTTAAATATTAATAAATATGTTTAATTTTAGGATGGTTCACGGTCAATAGATATGACTGATATTACAAAAAATTTACCTGTATTACCCAATAAGTAAATGTTATAAATTAACAAGTGATTAATAATTATTAATAATATTTAATGTATAAATATTTTTTTAGACTTGGTTTGGGTAAATTATGTATGCTGTTTCGTTATCTTGATATAAACTGTCATACTGGTGTTATGTTATGTTCACCATCAATATATAATGGAGATGATTTAAAAATCAAAGACTTATTTAAAAATATTGATGACAAATTTAATTTAACTGTTACTGTAATACGAGATTTATTTGATGATTCAAATCAGGTATAAATGCTATGAAAAAAATTAATGAATTAATTATAAATTAAAAGTATTGTAAATAATGTTTAAGGATGAAAATAAAATAAATGAGATAGGGGTTTTATTTCAAGTACCTTCATCATCAAACACAGATTCTCCAAAAAAATCATCCATGATAAAATTCTGGGTTATGGGGTGAGTATTTTCTTTAAGATAATAATTATTTAATATTATGTAAACAAATTTATCAATATTTTAGGAGATTACTCAAAGAACCAAATAAACGAGAGTTATATGTTTGTTATGAAGAAGGGATATCTCAAAATATGATTGAAATTGCATTTAAGTTGTGTACAAATTATGCAACTGTATAGAAACAAATACTATTTTTACTTTTTATTAATGATATTGCTTATGAATTAAAACATTCTTATTTTCTATTACTAGCAGACGATCTCAGATTATTTAATATAATTCGCTTTCAAAATTATATTATGCTACTTCAAAACGATTTGAATTCATTTAAAAAATGGTGTGATATAAACGGTATGTCTCTAAATATAAAAAAATGTGCAATTATTTCTTTCTCTTTAAAAAAAGAACCTATCATTTCTGATAATAAATTAAAAAATATTAAAATCTCGCGAGTAAATAAAATTAATGATCTTGGTGTTACATTTGACTCAAAACCTAATTTCAAACTGCATAGGTACTAATAATATTATTAAAAAATCATCAGCCAAACTAGGATTTATAAAGCGCACTTGTAAAGACTTCCACGATAGTTCTTAAATAGCTATATTTCTCATTAGTACGCTCTCAACTGGAATATGCAAATTTGATTAGGCACACTAACTCTATAATCCAAAATAAAAATCTTTCACAAAGAATGCAGAATAATTTTTTAAGATTTTTAAGCATTCAATGTCATATCTATAGAGTTTCTCATTCTGATTATAATATTATAATATTATAAATAGGTTTTTCTCTATATCACCACTTGAAAAAAAGATTAAAACAACTGAATTTAAAATTCCTTTATAAACTATTACACAATATTATAGATTGCTCTGCCCAGAACTAGTTGAACGTTTATACTTTAAAATGAACTCCTTAAACTCTAGACATAGACATAAACAACTTTTATATCCACCAAAATTTCGTCCAAATACATGTCATTCTCTCCTTCTAATACTCAAATAGTTATAGCTTATAGGGAATTCCATAAATAATGTAGATTTATTTCACTGCTCACTTAATGATCTCTCTTCGTGTATTCATTAATTTTCAATTTTTTGTGTTTTTTTTTTCTATTTTTGTTATACACGATATATTATTATGTACAATGTACACACAACTTGATTTATATTTATATATTTTTTCTCTTCTTCCCTGAATACTCTTGTAACTACCTTGTTTATTTATAATGTAATTGGAATTTATTCCGTATTAACAAACAATATTATTATTAATGTTACAAATACATTTTTATAAATAAAATATAAACAATAACTATTGATTACTATTAAATCTATTAATCATCAGATAATAATATGTGTTATTTGTGGTGAGTGGACAGTGATTATTTGAATTTTTGTTGCTATTTTTTTAATTTTTTTTTATGAAAAAAACTTTATTTAGTCTATAGTTTATAAAAAATATGGCATAATTTAAGTTTGATTTTAAAATTATTTTATTGATGATAGAAATTTATATTTTGAAAAAGTATATCTAAAACTAAATCACACCTGTTCTAAATAAATGTGGGTAAGTGGATATAGCTTTTCTGTACATTAATGGTCCTAACCTAATCTAATTAGGACAATTAGGTGTCAAGTGTGTCACTAGTATTGATGCGTTAAATTTGAATTCATACATATTACATATGTCATGTATGTAAATGAGATTGAGCTGAGATGGTCTGACACCTATATCAAAAACTATGTAGGTAGTCTCTATTTCATGATTGTTTTTTCTTGAATTAACTAATTTTATATTTAGTTTAGCGGTAGGTCAAAATAGTTTTTTTTTTCAAAAATATTGCATTAATCATATCATATGTATTTTTATACTTTTAGAATATTATATACAGTATAACCTCGATTATCCGAACTAATTGGGATGCACCTAGTTCGGATATTGGAAGTATAAAATAAAAAAAATTAATAATATCATGTACTAATTATTTATTATTTTTATAATTAATTATTTATTATTCTTATTAATATTTTATTAGAATTACATACAATACATTATCAGAAATACATTAGACATTTTAGATACTTGACAATCGTAATATATTTGCACGTATGTATAACGATAGTCGATATTATGTTAACGGTAGAGAGCCGAACTAACCTGCAAGTTAAACACGATTCACAAGGACGTCGTTTAGATAAGTCCGTTGGGTTTTGGTCATCTACTATCTACTAATTGATGCACGTAAAATACGTACATAATAATATGTACTAATAATAAACCAAAAGCGATAGTTATGATAAATTCGATAAATTGGCCGGCCGGATACGAGTTTTCATGTTCCGATGACAGAACCATAGAACTTTCAGATACGATAATTAGTAATTATAGTTCGAATAGAAATTCGAATAACCGAGGTATAATCGTTAGTGTATTAATTTTCTTTAAAAATCAATTCATACCTAGTATAAATAATTTCATCCGATGAATGGCTATTGGCTGCTGTAATCAAACCTCTCGTGTTATGTTGTTACTCTCTTCAATTAAACTTATTATGCTAATTTTATTGTATAGATTGTGTGTAAAAAAAATAATAAAATGTATGATTTTAGTATGAATTAATTTATTGACATAATATATAAAAAAAAAAAAAATGAAAATTTTTCATGTATATAAATAACTCAAAATGTGTTGTATGGATCAACAGTTATGTTTTATTCAAAATGCAACCAAGTATCAATTGTTCAAGAAGAAATAATTATTTGGCAGGTGAATATTAAAATTTGAACTTGAAATGTTCATAAAAATTAATTTGGTTTAACGGTGGTTAAAGATTGAAAAACTTAAAGGATTTTGTAAGAATTATAATTTTAAACTTTATAAAGAAATATTGTGTCTAGATGTTCAATATTCTTTAACTGAAAAATTAAAAATTGTGAGGATCTTTGTATTACATTTTCAAGCATTTCTATCTAGGAGATAACTTCTTACTTTTAATCGAAATTTAGAAAAAAATGTAATCATCATGACTTTAAATAAATTAAAATTTTTTAAACAATTGATTGAATTCAAAGTACATGCGACTAATTGATTTTTAATAATAACATTAAAAAAAAATCAAATCAATTTTGTTGAAAATTGGACTTGGCTATTTTTGTTTTTTTTCCAATTACAAAAAAAAAAGTATTGAGAATTATTAAATGTTGACCTTTACAAAGCTAGATTCTATTAACTATCCAAAAACCACTCTAAAAATAAAAATTGAAGCATTTCATTGACTACTAATCGTGAACAAATACACACAAAGGGAAATACACTTTGTAAAATCAATATATTCATCAGCTCAGAATCAAATAAAAAACTGCCTAAAATTTATAAATAGTTGTGAATAAATTTTTAGTCTTGCAATAACTTTTTTTTTTCAATATGAATTCAAAAATAAATTAAAATCAAAGAATGATAAATGTTTTGACCAACTGAGACAGTATTGTAATATCTAATTGTATCTATTCTTAGATATGTGAGATGATTGACACATCATTTAATTCCTCAATTGTTACTTGTTTCTAAAATAATAGTTTAGGCAACAGTTTTTAATCTTTGTCTAAATCATGCAAAATAGAAATTTATATATAATATGCATTGGCAAACAATGATTAATATATTGAAATTATAATAATAATTCAGAAAATATTTGAATTTTTGATAAAATTTACTAGAAATCAATTTTTACACATGTTTTCTAATTATTTTTAACTGTTTTAGCATTGTAGTGATAAAATTATAAATGTGGGAAGGTCAATCTTAAGTAGGTTTATTGACAAATTCAAATTTATTTTCAGAAATGTTATCACTACATTAACTTATAAAGTTGGTGTGTTTGGTAAAGAATCCTTATACATTTTTGTTCACACATATTTAATAAGAAAAAGAAACGTTCAATACCAAATCCCCTAAAACATCTCTGAAAACTTATAAACCAATAAAAAAATAAATAAATAAATAACAACATAATATTAAATATATTACATTAATTTACAGTTAACTTAATTATATTTAACATAAATAATATCTTATTTAGGAACTTTGAACTTTATACAATCTAAACACCCAAAAGTGATACACTTTCAAGTGTTTTAGTTTTTATTGATAAATAAAGATTGTATACAATAAATAACTAAAATAATTATTATACAGTACATTTACTGTATCATTCAATAGTTGTCATTAACTTCAAATAGATGCCAATAATCAGATAAACAGAAATAATTCAACAAAATATAATTAACTAAATAGTAGAAAATATAAATTTCAACAAAAGTTATGATTTGACTAAATATTTACAAAAATCATTTAAGGCAATAATTATATAACCCTTTTACAAAATTTCATACAAAACAAAAATAATATACAACTAATTTTAAGTCTTTTTGCCTTTGATTAATTGGTATTCAGCTAAGTGAGAAATCACCAAATTTATCCTGAAAATTCTTGATTCATGTTGCAATATAGTATATTTATATCTTCGGGAATTAATTCTTCTGGTTCTGAATCCTTGTTATCGATAAAATTAACTGTAGGTGTTCCAGATAAATCTAGGTACTCACATGACAATTCTAGATATTCATTATTAATTAGTTTGATTGGTACTTCATATCCCTCATTATTACTTATGAGTTGAGATGGCAATTCTTGTTGCGAATCTGTACACGTCATAAGGTCTATTGTATATTTTTCCGATGGTAATGATACATTATGCAGTTGAGCTAAATAATACATTATTCCATATATATCATAACTAATTAAAATGTTTAATAATTTAAAAATAATTTTACATACTATGAGAGATATTAACATAATCCAGTGGCATAGCCATAAATGATTGTAAAACTTTTAAACAGAATTCAAATCTTGGCCGTTTTTCTGGTTGTACATTCCAACATTTAAGCATCAAATTATATCTGCAATAAAATATGTAAGAACAGATTCTTTTCTTTTTATGTTTAATGTTGTATAATGAATTTCAATTAAGTTCATGTTTATTTAAAAGAAAAAATTGTACTTTAAAAAGACTGAGCATAGTCAACCATTTTTATTTTTATACAGTCAAAATGTACTATGTATGTTTTATTTAATCCCCCTCATTTGAAGGCAGTATGTCCTATCATAAATAAAATAGTTTTTGTATTATAAATATAGATCAACAATAATTTTTAGTATTCAGAGACAATTAATATCTTATAAGTCATAAGTAATAATAAAACATTTATGTTAATAATTCTATAAATGAAAGATAAAAATTATTGACAAATAGCGTTCTTGACTCGTTTAAAACATTGTATTATATAATATCAACAATATTTTTCTATTAATAATATTCAACAAAAGGTAAACAAGTGGGTACTCTTCTGTTGTAAAATAGGGGTCAAGTGGGGGTCACTGTAATGAATGTATTGAATTTTATTTCAATGATATATCATTGATTAGAAAAAACATTTTGAGTGGAGTCAGTCTATTAGTCTAAGAAAGGGGTCTCCAAACTACGGCCCCCGAATAAGTTTTCACCGGCCCACCAAATAACGGAAAATATTCTAAAAATATATATACCTAGTTTTCATAGTCGTTATCGCGCGCACGAGCAATTATCAGCTGTATTAGCTGTAATTTATAAATTATATACAAAAATTAAATGTATTCATACATTTTGGCCCGCTAAGAGCTTTTTTTATTTAATTTGGCCCTTGGATAAAAAAAGTTTGGAGACCCCTGGTCTAAGACATTTAATATGACTACAATTTTTATTAACAATAAAAAAAAAATTAAAAATATAAATAAAATATTTTGAAAATTATAATATGAACATTTGAAGTTTATATGGTAATTAGTTTTATCTGATCAATTAGAAAAATATTGGATATTTTTATTTCTGACTCCACTAAGCACCAATTAAATCCAATTTGCTACCAGAAAATACCTTAAAAGTTAAAATTGAAGCATTTTTACTATCCCAAAAGGTAATGAGACATAATAAAAAAATCAATACATTATATTTCCACTCAAAATCTAATATTTTGTAACAGCTTGAATTTTAAATTTTAACTTCAAAGTTTAGACTATCCTATTGCAGTTTTTGAAATATTTACAAACTGAACTTCAATCAGATACAAAATTAAGTTTATCAGTTTGAACAGGATATTTCATATAGGTATAAAAAAATCCTAAGTGTTAAAATTATAATAGACATTAAAATGTCAATATTGAGTCTCTACATTAAAAAGATTATGATATAAATATTAATTTAAAAAAATATAATTTATAAATTCCATAAGGTCAAATAAATTGGTTCCTGTTAAAAACTTTGAACAAGTTCGTTATATAATTCACTAATAAACTTGATCAATAATGGGTACATAGGTTTTCAAAAATTACTTTAAATTGTTGGTTAAATAATATTGTAGGAACAATATTAATGGTATATGGCAGGGATGGGAAACTGGCGGCCCGCACTACATTTTCAAATAACTTCATATAGCTTTAGCGCTTATCTGTATTTTATTACATTTTTCTATAAAATGTAGATATAAATTATTATCTAGTTTTAAACCGAAACTAAATTATTAAATCGTTTAACAGATGAAACCTTGGGACATTTACTATGAGTTTCAACTACAGAAATAGAAGTGGATTTTACTTAATTGTCTATTGAAAAACCTCATCCTTAAGTATCACATTAAATAATAATTGTAAATATAAATAAATAAAGATAAAAAATAAATGTTAGTAAATTTGAAGGACTTTTTTTTTCTTTTGCTTTCTCCTATGCACTGCGGCCCACTATATTTTAAAGTACTTAAAAGTGGCTCGCTATTTACTTTGAGTTGCCCATCTCTGGTATATGGTATACTCTATATATAATTATTATTTATTATTGTATATTTACAATGTTTTGGGACAATTAATTGGTTTTTCAAGCCTTCCACCATGTTGAACATGATACATAACATTTATATTTGACAGTCCTGGATAGGGCTGTTGACCCAAAGACATAATTTCCCATAATAAGACACCAAAGGCCCAAACATCAGATTGACTGGTAAAAACACCATCCACTAGTGATTCTGGTGACATCCATCTAAAATAAAAATATAATATAGACACACAAAATAAATATAATATATAAATAGTACCGAACAGGCAGTAAAGCTTCTCCTTCTTTTCGATAATAATCATGAGTATAAATATTTCTTGCCAGTCCAAAATCGCCAATTTTTATAATTCGCTCTTTAGGATCAGAAGATGATACCAAACAATTCCGACAAGCTAAATCACGATGAATAAAATGCATCTGTTCCAAATATGAGCATCCTTCTGCCACATCAATACACATTTGTATATAGTCAATAAGATTTAGTACCTAAATGAGTATATTAGATAGATGTGATTTTAAAATTTTGTTATTTTTTTTATAAAATAATAAAACTTATCTTACATTAGTATGTCTGTTTTTCCTTAAATAACTCAACAAATCACCTTCTTCCATAAGTTCCATAATAATAAAATTAGGATCATTATCTAAACATACTCCAATTAATTGTAAAATATGTTTATGCTTGAAATTATTCATTAGTTTTGCTTCTTTTAAAAATTCTACAACTTCACTTTGAGTAGCACCTTCTTTTAATGATTTAATGGCAATACGTGTTTCTGCTTCTCCTCTTACTATATCCTTCATTTTTCCTTCAAAAACTTCTCCAAAAGCACCTGATCCCAATCGTTTTGTAAGTGTTATTTGCTCTCGTTTGATGTTTGGCAATTCATTTTTATCTTTTTTTTGGAATAATACAGCACCTTGGTAACCCACATTTAACGCTTGAAAAAATGTTGGCCTTTGTGGCATTTCTCTAAGTCTTCCTAATTCAACATCTGGTCTCATCGGTCCTTTGGCATTGAAAGTAATTGAACCTACTAAAATAAATTATTTAAAAATTAATTAATTAAAAATAATATTGCACAATTGTATAAAATATTACATACAATACTTAATTAACATTGTTAAGAATAGGCAAATCAAAATAAATCCTGTTATTAATATCTTCCAAGGGACATCTTCATTTCTTAAAGTTTCCACTTGGTATTGAGGGTTGAATAGTTCATCTGATGTTCTATATTCACTCCACCAACCATGATGATTCTCTGCCTTAACACGGAATTTAAATACTAGGTCACGTTTTACATCAGACATGAACCAATGATTTTCTAAAAAAAGTTATTTTTATAGTACATCTTAATACTAAATTTTTAAGTTGTTTAAAAATTACGAGGTCCACTGTAAACAGTTGTCCAATTAGTCGTATTTAAATTCAAACTTCTTTTATTTCTTATTTCGCTTATTATCATTCTTTCTAAAGAATAACTTTTAACACGAGATTCTGACGGATCCCAATATACTATATAAACAGATGGTAATGTTTGATTTACTTGAGGAAATCCAGGTGGGCACGGTCTTTTAACTAAAATATAATATAAAATTAATAAATTAATGATACAAGAGGCAAAGATTATTTAATTTATACTTCATTTCACTTGAAATATTATAAATATTAATCAAACTAAAACCTGAAGACAATTTATTATTTCATACTATGATAACCAGTTTATTTTTTTTTTTACTTTTAAGGTTAAAAAAGTACTTAAAAACTGAGTACATAAATTATGCAGTTTTCAAATAGAGAACTGAGAAATATTACTTATAAATGGAATTTTTTCGAAGAAAATATAAAAAATTAATAGAGTAGATACATAAAAAATAATTGATGAAATATCATAATAATGTTGACAAAAATATTATTAAACTATTTGTTATTTAGGTATCTTTCTTTAAAGTTGCTCTATTTAAATCAAAAATAAATTTTAATTTTTCAACATTTTCGATTTAAATAATTTTATATATAAAAAAATAACCATTTTATATGATTATGTAACTACCAATAAGTTAATTGTTATATTTGACTTTCACAATTCATCCCACTCTACAATGGTCTTACTAAGAGTCATATACTTAACACACATATCTTTTTCTATTTATCTCTATTAATAGAATATAATTTTAAAAATGGTGACTTATAATAATAGTAGCCAAAAATAATCAGTACTAATGTATATTGAATTATTACTACTTACTTGATTCAGTTAATCCATCAATTGTATATACAGCTGTTATATTATTTAAACAATATAATGATGCATTATTTTCAATAACGGGTTTGTCATTCAAATCTTTAATTCCTATAGTACACATTGATTCATCTGTTGTCCAGTAAATATTGCGTTTATCAACTGCCAGAGATGTTAAATTTAAAGTTGAATTTACAGAATATATAACTGAACATTTACAACCATTAATATCAGAAACAATAATATTTCGATATTTGCCTTCAATCCACAGAAGTCTCATTTTACCACTATTTGATATATAAGATGTTAATACATTATCAAACGGGTACAAATTAGTACAATTGCAATTGCTATTGCTAGAATATATAAAAGTTTCAATATCTGTGCCACTCATGTTACTTTTCAGTATATTTTTTTCATTGGAATCAGGAATTTGTTCAATCCAAATAAATAAACTGTGAATTCAATATTTTTGTTATAAATCATCTATTTAATCAAATATTAATCCAAGATAACTATATTATTATTTACCCTTCAGAGAGGACAGCTGAGGATGGAGATATTTTATTTGATCTAGACATCACTTTTTTAACTGTTTTTACTCTGATATCAAAGGCCATAATATTTGATTGATTTTCAGCAACTTCACACCAAAAAAGTGTTTTTGATATCCAATCAAATGAAAGATTTTCAATTTTTGTATTCATTTCAGAAATTGAATAAATCTATATATATATAAAACATATAATATATGTATATATATTAATTATATGTATAAAAGAACAAAATCACTAATTTAATATTTATAAAATAATTACTTTGTTATTAATTGATTTATTAATTGGTGAACTGTATATAGTCTTATTATCAGTCCAAAATGCAATATCATCCACATCGTTTAAAGTAAAACTAGTTACCAAACTTTTTGTAAGTAACACTATTAGATGATTATTTTGTTTATTTGAATGATAAATCATTATTTTGGAACCACTCACAAAAGCAGTTTTAAATTTAAAATTTGCCGAGTTGCAAGTTTGATTAAATATTATATCTTGGCTCCATCCACTACAGCCAGCCATAGAACAAGCTCGTATCTGTTAAATAAAAAAAAAAATTGTTAAATTTACATATTTTATTAATGATAGTAATAGTAAAATATTACTTTAAACATTAAATCTGAATAAATAGAAAGTCCGGTCCATTTTGTTAATGTGTTAGTGGACACAATAGATTGTTTTGAACATGCTTGCCAATAATTTTTTAATTGATAATAACATTCAACTTCGTAGTTTGTAACATTTTGAATTATAGAATGTTGCAGTATGATATTCATAGTATAATTATCATTAAAGTTCACAAAAACACGTATGTCTGTTGGTATAGCAGGAATTGGTGAATAAACTGTTACAACTTGAGATGAACCCCAAACAGTAGAAGCTTTGATACTGATTTCTAAAGGTGTACTATCAACTAATACTTTGGTATTTGGTGTCTCAAACTATTAGATAAAATTAAAACCATTAAGATTACATCTTTAAATCAATACTATGAATAATGTATTATAAAATGAGTTCATACTAGCTTATAACATATTTTATTATACATAATATACTAATATAGACAATACATTTTTTGATATTAACAAGTACTAACTTTAATTTATACACTACAGCAATAAATAAATGTATGCATTATGTTTATTTAAAAAAAATATATTTAAATATAATTCATTTAAAATTTAAATATATACTAACCAAAGAATCAATTTTACTGTCTTCTTTTTCCAAAACTTTAACAGTATAAGAAACTAATCCATGGTTAACAGTTTTGACAGGTTCCCAGATAATTTCAAACACACTTTCATTAATTCTGGGATTAACTTTTATCATTTTTATGTCCACTTCTTCTGGAATAACATTTGTTTCTAAACCTAAATAACACATAAATAATTGTTTATATTTATAAAAAAACAATACACATCTTGATAATTCTGTAAGTAATATAGTCACTTACTAAAATATAAAACAATATTACTATTTATTAAACATAAAATTACTATGAACATAATTAGAAAATACAAGTTTAAAATTAAAAAATAACTATTAAAAGACATTCATATATATGTAATACTTTTTATTCTAATATTAACTATATTATAAAAACTAATATCATATTTATAAATGTATTTATACTATATACCTTTTGGTTTAGGATGAGCATATTTGTCACGCACACTAAATGTCTGAATACCATTTAAATTCATAGCTCGTATAATTGCTGGATATTGGCCATCTGTATCACTCATCATTATGTCATTACCTTTTTGAAGCCACAGCAAATGATGGTCTACATAGAATAAAGGTCCTGGATATAAAACAAAATAACTTGATATCTACTTCTAATGCACAATATATTAATATTATATACCTTGAGTGCAAGAGTCATCAAATTCTTTGATAGGATTAGGATTATTTAAATCACTCAGCTTTTCAACAGTTGGTGCACGGAATAATTTTGATTTTTCATTTTCCCAAAGTATCCAATATACCCAACTACCAACAGAATCCACGGCTAAACTCATAACTAAAATTAAAATGTAGAAACATACAAACAACTTCTTTTAAAAGTAATTAAAAAATTAAAAATTCTACTTATCTTCAGATATTATACCTCTTTTTCCAGAAAAGAAATCTGCACTATAATAACTGTGCTGTTCTTTTCCATTGAGTTTTGAAGATTTCACTGCAAACCCTGTTGACCAATATAAGTAACCACCAACAGATTCTACTTTCAATTCTTTGGCAATATTAGATGCTAAAAGCAACTCTCTTTCACCTCCAAATAAATTTTCTCTTAATATCTAAAAATTAATTCAATAATAAAGTATTCATCAATTAATTTAAATAAAAACATTTATTACTGATTGTTTTGATGGATCTGCCCAATAAATTTTATGACCCAACCAGTCAATTGCAATACTTTGAACACTATTAATATCTTCTAATGTACTTCCTTGACGACTTGTTAGATTCAGCCAATTAATTTTATTTGAATTAACTACATAAAAAACACAATCTTCATACCAAGCAACATCATCTAATGAAGAATTTTTAATACTGTTCTAGAAAATAAAAAGTAACATTTATCAAATAATTGTTAAAATACAATTTGAGACAGTTAAATTAATTAGCTTTATAAAAAAAAAAAATAATAATAATAATAATCTTTTTTTTTTCCAATAAATTGTCAATACAAAATAGTTTTTAGAATATGATAATTTTTATGATGAAATTCAAAATGAATCAAGTAAAACAAATTCACAATATTTAATCCACATTATTTTCTAGTTAATACTACATTATTACAGTATAAAACATTTATAAATATTTACTTCATCTTCGTTTATTGAAATTGATTCTATAAAATCACCCATGATATCAGATATTAAAATTTGTTGAGCATTTCCCCAAAGTACAGAAACATTATGATTTAATGTTTTTACTACAAATTCTGACGACCACGGTCCTTGACCAGAAGACGAATAAGCAGCTACTTTTATTATGTAATTTGTATTTGGTGAAAGTGAATTAATTAACACTTCTGTTTTATTAGTTTTGATATTTATCCAATTTGTTTTATTTTCAAAGGATATCGAAAACAAATATGACCATTTCTGCCATGAATTACGCCCTACAAATATAAATAATTTAAATTATTGTGTATTCCATTCGTAAATAGCTTTTAAAATAGTAATTGATTAGTATTTACCTTGTCCACCTAATAAATGTGGAACCTGCCAAGTAGCCTTCAGTTTACTAGATGTAGAAACTGCTTGTAAAGACTGTGGTGGATTTCTTGGAATTGGTATTGGTTGTTGATCAGTAAAATTGGATAAAATTAAATTGTAGGAAAAATGCATAGCTGGGTATATATTTTGATAGTATTTTTGTTCATTAATAAAATACTCTTCTCCCATTAATACCGAACCATTTGACCAATAAAAAGATCCATTAACATGTGATAAGGTGATTGCATCATTAAACAAGGCAGTTATTGTGTTATTTCTAATATCTATTACATCTTGACTGTAAAATACCAAAATATTTAAAATAATCAATGTTTATAAAATTTAAAGAGATTAATTTAAATAATAATATTAACAATTACAAAAAAATATATTTATTATTTTCATTTAATATACAGTAGACGCTGCTTATAAGACTCACTTTGGGACCAGCACAAAGTGAGTCTTATAACCGAATGAATCTTATAGGCGAAGTGGAAAAAAAAAATTAATTACGTATTTATAAATTTTATTTTACTACATATTTTGCTTTGATTTTAATACATTAACACATATTACATATTACATACTTTATTATTGAATAAATTTAATAATCCTGATAAAAAAAACTAAAATTATAATCGTTATAATTATCGTTGCGATAAATGTGAACTTTTATTTGCGATAAAAATTATTATACGTTATAAGGTACCAACAGAAACTGGAAATAATCAACACGAATATTATTTCATTTTTCAAAACCAATTTATTTCTAAATTATAACCAAAAAACTTTATTTTCTACTATTTATTTTACAAAATTTGAGTCTTATAACCGAAGTGTAGAGTCTTAAAACCGATTTTTTTTAATGTATTTGGATACGTCCGGACCGTTCTAGACGATTTTGAGTCTAATAAGCGACTGAACCTTATATCTGTGAGTCTTATAAGCGGCGTCTACTGTATTTAGTTAAGAAATATTGGTAAGCGATAGTAAACAAAAAATACTTTAAGAGTAACTAAGAATAAAAACAACACTAGTATAAACTAAATACATAATAAGCTTCACATGATGCAAGGTACTAAAAAATTAAAATCATCTGCTTACTATATATTTAGATTTAAAATAAACTACTAAAAACAAGAGTAATGATTTGAAAAATATATTGAATACATTAATATATACTTGAATACGTTTTTATTGAAATATTAAATTTTTATCATCAAAACTATCATAATATGAAAATAAATTAACAGAAAATGTACTATTAGACAACAATTTTTAATTTAAAAATGAAGATAAGATATTGGTACAGCAGTGCATACTATACTCAATTAATATTATATATTATGTTTGTAACAATTTTTGTTAAAAATAATTTCAACATTGTTTAGAATTTTTATAAAATTTAAAATTTTGAGAATAGAATAGAAGAAAAAAATAAAATTATTGGCTATTACAGGAGCAATTGAACAAAAACATACATCTACATTAAGTAATGATTATTATTAGTACAGTGTTTTAAAAACTTACCCATCCAAAGAAACCGACATTATTGTGTTATTCTTTTGGAATAACACTAATAAACAAAATTTTATGTAATCTATAATAAATGGTCCAATATTTTTATTTTGTAGGATTAACATGCTTGACATTTTTAAGTTTTTTGCTTTTTTACTTAAATCCAAACGATATAAACCCAATTTTGTAGTCCAAAATAAATATCTGTTTTTAATAAAATTAAATAAATACAATAATTATACACTTTTAATAATTAAAAAAAAATAATTACCCATTGCAAGGATCCACTCCTATTTGGAGTGGTTTATAATCAAATCCAGAAATTATTTCTTCCATTATTTTTTGTTCTAAATCAAATTTTCTTATACTATACACAATGGTATTTCTATTTGTTTTTAATGACATTAAGATATATAGGTGATTATTTAGCCAATCAATAGTGGTATCCATTAATGTTTCTCTTTCTGTAGTAAATATGGTGTTTACATTATTATTTGATAATGACAGTAACGAACTCGAAGAATCCAAAATATAGGTAATATTTGTATGTATATTAATTGATACACCTAAGATAAATTTTTATTTAAGTCCATAACATAAATAAAATATAATATATATAGTTAATAATATTAATACATACTATTGATAGTTTGATTTGTAGAATAAACACTAATAGGTATATCCATCATTTCAATAGTTTTCACATATATATCATGATTAGATATAAGGAATAAGTGTACAGGCTCAGGAGAATATTTTACTAAAAATAAATAATGAATCACAGAATATTAATCATGAAATATTTTAAAATTTTAAATCAAACTAATAAATAGCATATAATTACTCATTGATGTGGGGAGGGTTTTAACAAAGACATTGGTAATTGGTCCAACACCATATTCATTTCTAGCAGCAAGTGAAATTGAATAATTTTTTGCAGATTCCAAATTACGAAACATATAAAAAAATTCTGTTTCATTTTCTTTACCAGTTAATATTTCCTAAATAGTATCATACATTTAATAAAAATAAAACATTTTGAAGATAAAAAATACAACAATAAAAATATATGAGAGATACTTGAAAAGAAGTGTTAAATGTTATAGAATATTAGTAAAAGGAAAATACATAAATCTAATTAATAAAATTAAAACAAATAATTAGTTAAAAATAAAATATTTGATATTTTTTAATACATTAGAAAGATATAAATTATAATACATTAATACATTCAATTATTTATTAATTAACACGGGCAAAGAGAAACTAGAAGCATTAATTACTATAGAACTTCTACTAAAACTAAAAGTGGAAGGTTAGACATAAAAAATCCCGAATTTCAGTGTTATGATTGAGTTATTAGTTAAAAAAAAAAGTAAAAAGGAAGTTGCTCTGCTGTGCAGTAAATTTTATATACAATTCATCATTAAAAATATTATTGTAATGGATGTGTTATATTTGAATTCAAACCAATGTTTCTGAGCAAAACAGAGTTGTTGGAATCAATTTTTAAAGATATTTTATGATTTATTTATAATACTTATCAAATTAATTTGTATTAATAATTATGTAGGTTGTACTAATTTTAAGTACAAAATAAATTATTATAATACATAATTTTGATGAATTTGTATTTTAAATGAACATAAAAATGTTTCCCAATACCGATAATTTAAAATTGCAGCAAGTACAGATTATGATTTTTGTATTAATCTTTGGCGTATTTTGATTTGAAAAGTTCATTCATTAATATAAATTTTTAAAATATTAAAAAAAGTAAAACTTATTTATAAATAGATCAAAAAGAATTAAAATATTTTGAAAATTGTTTGATGTTGAGAAAATTTAAAAATAAATAATTTATGAAAATTTTAAGTATTCATTTTTAAAATACAACAAAATATATATTAATTTTGTTATTATGTAAATATTCCAGTTTTTTTTTTTAATTTTATTTAAAAGTAATTTTAATTTTTTTACTTTTGATCTCTCAAATACACTCATAGTTGAAGATTGAAATATTTCTACTCAAAAAGGTGAAACATAAATGAACAATAATAAATAAAAACCACTTCATCCATTCAGAATTTAAAATATCAATAAATATTATGTTGTATATTGTAGTATTTTCATTAATGATACTACAAAGTATTAAGTAACTTTAACCTTACTTTTGAAATATAATTAATCTAAATAATATGAAAATATTTAAATTTAAATATTAGTATAGTAAGTTTACTTTGACAGAATCGACTTTAAGAACTAATTAAATTTATTTTTAAATACATTTAATAAAAATAATTTGTGCTTTAAAGACCATGCATTTTGGTGAAGAAGAACATGTAAGCAAAACAGAAATTGTATGTATATATTATGTTCTGACCTTGAAGATGGTGTACTCTTTTGTAGGCTCTTGGATGGTTAAATGATAGGAAAGGATTGGGGCTAAAGGAAAGGGAATGGCAGCCCATGTAATTGATATACTAGAATCTGCAGGAATTGTTCTCACAATTTCTGGTGTCATTGAAGGTGGTACTCTGCTGGGATGTGTGCTGATTACCACACTTGGTTCAGAAACCACAAACTGCATCATTCCAGACCATGCTAACAGTAATACCACGCGAAACTAATAAAGATAAAAACAACAATACAACATAAATAAATAAAAACAACGAGTAAAATTAATTAATTGATCAATAATTAAAAACTTTTTTATAAAGAACAAATAAGAGAATCAAACTAATTTATTTTGAATTAATATTATTAAATATAAGTCATCAATAGGGCTCGGATTTTAAAGCAAATACTTCTTTTAATATATAAATTCGTTTCACATCATGCTGATTCCAAATAAACGAATTTATTTTTGCTTTTTTCAGTTTTTCTAGTTGTGGAGTTTTTATATTATATTTCTTATACTATAATAAAAAAAAATGTTAATTTAATTAATAATATCAGACAATAGAGTCAATTTCTGTAATGAAAATCTAGCAAATACATGGTAGTAAATTGTTTTTTGAACTTAAATTAATTTTTAGTCGTGCTTTTTTTGCTTTTTTAAAAAATAAATACGCTTCATTTTTGCTTTTTTACAACAATTTTGTGCTTTTTTGTTATTTATTATGCTTTAAAATCCGAGCCCTAGTTATCAAATATTTTTAACATGAACTAATATAATATAATATAATCACATAAAATTAATAAGTAAGTACTTGGTAATTTGTATAAGGCCGAAGATTGTCCAATTGTATAATAGAGTCATTATTCCATGTTTCTTTTTGACAGTATTGCCAATTTCCAGGATTATTTTCTAATTTCCATTGAACTCTATATTTAAAATTTTTCCTTCTTACACCTTTCCATTGGAGTTTAAGAGATTTATCAAACAGAGAATCTGGTACTAATGTCGGGGATGGTAAAGGCCCAATTTCAACTAAACATATTATATTGATATTATTAATATTATAGTCGAATTAATATTAATAAGTAAAATATCATTTAACATACATTGGAGTTTTTGAAAGTATAAAGTAATAGCATCATTACATCCTGCAATACAATATAATTTACTTTGAGATATATGATTTGCATCATTAAATTTGTCCTGTAATATATTTAAATTTTTTTTTTTAATAAATATAGATTTATTACAAAATTACTTAATTAAAAGTACTTTAACTTACACAAACTTTTGAACAATTATAAGTAAGTGCTTCGTTCCATAAAGCACATCCTCTAATACACTGAAAAATAAACAAAAAAAAAAATACTGCTATAAATGTAGAAAATTATAATTTAATGTTCAATCAAAATACAAGGGAATTTTTACAGCTAATTCAAAAAAAAAATAAAAAATATAATAATATGTATTATTAGGGGGCATGAGTTTCTAGAAGTACTTATATCAAAACATGAAAGTCGAATATTTACAAATTACAATGTTGCATTGCATTATTATTTATCTTGTTGATTACTATTATGAATACAAAAAAAAAAAAAATCATATGAATATATTTTAAAGTTTAAGTATACTTCTATACTACCGATTTAATATAATATTTATCGTTATTAAAATTTGAAACTCTTTAGTCAACTTAAAAAAAAATTTATGTTCACCATATCTAAAAATATATAAGCATAATATTATTTTTTATTAATATCCAAATTGGAGTTAAAATTTGGACAAAACAAAACTAAATATTTAAACTATAAATAACAATATTCATTATTTTATTATAATTAAAAAATATATATGACCTACTGTACTAATAAAAGTAAAATAAATTACTTTAGCCAATAGCAATATCAAATACATAACATGAAATATACTTAATGATATAGGCTGATAAACCATCTTTGTTTGGAATCTTTTTTAGTGTACAACGATAATACATAATTTAATTCAAATTTAACAAATCCATCACAATGACATACTCCTCTAAACCTACCGTACAGCAGAACGGTATTTACTAGAACATTCTTTTTGTAAACTAAAAGGTTGTACCATTATTGTGACTTATATGAGAATTCTAAATTAATTTTAAAATAACAAAATCGATCTACTAATACAAAATATGTTAAATTTAAGTAGATATTTAACCTATGAGTTTATAGTTATGTACTTCACTTGCAAGCATATTATTATTTAGGGTCTAGGAGTTTGGACTATTTACCATGACTGTTTCTCCGCCGTGAAGGATTAACTTTCCCACGAAATATTAATAACATCAATAATGTATTTATTATTAATAAACAACAATACTAAAATTATGACATTTCTTCAAACGTTGCCACTCGATATTTTTCACGGGTTCGCCCCTGATAAATATATTAGGACTTGTGAAACATCAATTTTGAAAATATTCCTTAATTAAAATAAGTTAAATTTTATCATTCCTCATATTAAAATTTGCAACACTAATTTTCGTGTGCATAAATACACTACTTATAACTTATAAGCATGCGCAAGGGGTATGCAGCCATGTCCTTGCCTCTTGCATACTCCGGGAGCGGACACTTTTTTTTTAGAAGCTATAATATGAACTAAATCCCGCAAAATAACACTTTTGGAAAAAAAAAAACATATTTTAAAACTTTGTCTACGCTCTTTCTATCAAATATATATTAAAATCCTTCATGACAAATAACTTCTGTCTTTCGATCTATTTAATCATAATATCCATTTTCAGATCGAACTGAAACATAACTTTAAATAAAATAGAGTATAGAGGAATCATTTTACCTATAAAAAACGATTCTGAGCGAAAACTTGAAATTCTATACCAAAAAAATATATTTTTTGATATTGTTGCTATTAATGTAATTTAAGTTAATATTTTATACATAACTAAATAAAAAAATAGAGTAGGTTGAATTTATTTTTGCCTTAAATATTGTATTTAAAAACTTTATTGTGTATTTAAAATATAATAATATGCTTTAAAAATAACAAATTGAATTACTTATGAAAAACCTTGTTTAAATTTTCAATTCATAACTATAATTTTAAACATTTTATTAATTTTTAATTACAAAATAATTAACAAATTTCGAGAATTTAATGAATTTTGTCAAAATTTGAACTTTAAATGCTTATAAAACATTAATCATACGTATATATTTTTAATATTTTTTAACTGCTATTATAATAACTTATGAGCAATCCTTCGTATTAAATTTTCAAGTTTCTTGACCCAACATATCAACACTGATGATTTCATAACTTAAAATGTATTAAACAGGAACGAACGCTTGTAAAATTTTTGGCGATCAAAAAAGGTTTGAAAAAATATCATAATCTTAGTATAGTTGTATATTAATTTCAGATAAATTATTGGCATTATTAATATTTTGTAGGGAGGTTAATTCTTCGCGGAAGAGAAAATGGGCAAAATGGCCCAGTGGCGAGCAATTTGAGCCGTAAGGCGAATAATTCGACAACGAAGTGTCCGAGTTTGTATTATTTATTTATAGTCACTATTTTACAGTTGGAGAAATTCCAACAGATTAATAGTTTATAGAAGCGATTATAAAAGCGATAACTGACAATGATACAACTATAATAAGGATAATAGATATTAGATATTTATACGATAATTATTGTTATTGTTCAATTCAGTTTAGACTGCAATATTAATTATTATACATTACGATTACAATATTACTCTATAACACTTAGATACTCTGACAGATATCATATCTATAACCATGATTCATAAATCTAAATAAGATTGTAAAAGGTTTAAATGGTGAATCTTGAGTCATATAAATTATACATGGATCTACACCATATTTTTTTGAATAAATTTAACAAAAGTGGCTTTGGTACTTTTATGTCATTATGTACCAGGAATTAATTGACGGCTAACAGAAATCTCGATTCCATTTTTGTATTACTAAATATTTAATATTGATTTAAGGTTCATATTTGTTCTGTACAAATATACATATGATGAATAATGTTGATAATTAATAATTATAGACTAAAGTAAATACTATATAAAATATTATTATTACACAATAATTATACTTTTTTTATTTTGTAAGACAATAAAATAAATACATTTAGACTATTAATAATTAATATGATATCTAAAAATGAAAATAATTTTAGATAAAAATGTATTAATAAAGGAGATATGAATTTAGCAATGTAATTTATTATTTTTCCCATAAATGATAAAATTTGAGTATTACACTAATCAGACAATTAAGTTATTTGTGATTTACCAGCCATAATGTCACAACAATTTATAATACGATAACGAAATATATATTATGATCTAAGGTGCAAATAATGTATTTTATTAGAGATGGAATAAAATACCTAGTAAAATAATTAAAATTCGACATTAGTTAGTGAATATAAAGATACAGATATTTTTAAAAGTATTTTAATGCATTAATAAGTATTTATTTAATTATTTATATAATAAAAATAAAAATAATGTAAATGATAGTAATTAATAATATAGGATTGATTATAAATACTATTGTACAGAATTGTATCTATAGCTAATGATAGTAAATTAGATATTGTAGATGACTATCTCAGTAAATATTTTTATAAATTATTTTATTAATTTAGTTTTTAATAATTCATGGTGATATTATAATTATAATGAAATTATATTTTGAATTTAATTCATATAATCGACCTTAAATTTAAAATAATTTTTAAAACAATTAATAAACGTATACTGAGTAAGAATAAAACGTGAATCAAAGCATATACAAACACAAGGTATTCCTATAATTTTATATTCAAAATAACATTGTGCACTTATCTGTGATATTAAATAATACAACCAAAAAGTTATAAAAAAAAAAAAAAATTTAGTTTAAAATATTAATAAATAATAATAAGTATAGTTATTAGCCCTGTTATTAGTAGGAGTGGGATTTTGATCTTTTTTCTGGTGTTTTGAAACGTTCGTTTGTAATTATAAAACGTGTTTTGGGTGATGCTGATTATATTAAAGTAACTTTTTTTTTGCATTTTTTAACTAGATTAGGTGCACTTTCTTAGTATATAGAACATTTTTCACAATTTGTCCATAAATGAACAAAAATGTTTGCGATTAACAAGAGACTTTCAACTAACTGCTGATGATACGATTAAAAAACTATATATAACACAAGTTATCGCCAATAACAAATATTTTATCATAGGTCTTTCCAATAATGATTAAGAAAGAATAGAAGATAATTTAACTAAACAAGTAACAACGTACAATACTATAAAAAAAAAAAAATAAATAAAATAAAATACACTAGGTATTGTAGTATCATTTTAAAATTTTTTTCTAATTTATAAGCTATAATGAATAAATTTAAATGCATTTTTATAGAGCATTTTTTGAGTTTTTAAAGTAATTTTTGTATTATTTGAGATTTTTTAAGACATTAAAATCCCAGCCCTAGTTATTAGTATTTATGTTGCAAACTTTCATACGTATTAACAAATTAAAATAATTTAAATAATAAGATCAACTTAAATATGAAATCAAAATATGCTCTAGCTTAAAATGTAATTACGAAAACAGATTATAAAGTCTAAAAAAATACATAATACTTAACTTAACATATTACAATTTTGAAATTATTGATTAAATTTTAATAATAATATTAATATTATTTACTCAGAACAAAAAAATATACAAACTATTGGTAAAATTAAATGAAGTAGAATAAATAAATTTTTTTTTTACTTAAATTAAAAACAATGTTGACCAGATCCACGGCAATAAAATTCACACGGTACATCATCCGGGGGACCCTAACAATGTATTAATTCGATAAAATAATAGTCAGGGTTACTTATTAGTCAATCCACAAATGCGGGTCGAGAGCCCCTTCATATCAATTTGACTTTGTTTAGTAGCAATAATTATTATTAAACGTACTGATCACACTTCTTTATTACACCAAACACAAACATTTATGTTGGATTAATATTTAATAGACTAGAATAAGTTTAAATAAAGCCATATTAGTTATTAAATATTACAATGTACTTAGGTAATACAATATTTTGAATAATAATATTATGGAATACAATGTACATGGTAAAATTATAACAATTTAATATATTGATATTAAAGTTTATAAAATATAACTATATAGTCAGGTAGGTATATAAAGTTTACACTACTATTTCGAAAAAAAAATGTTTTCTGCTTTGAGCATATAAATATTTTAAAATGTAAAATAAACAATGTTCAATGTAAAAGAGTTTTTAATATTAAAAATAAGAATTTTAAATATATATTTATATAAACGATAAATTGTCAATACTCATGAGTATTTATTAATTATTGCAATAATTAATCGTGATTAGAAAAACTAAGTTACGATTAAAAATGTAAGTTAAAAATTTAAATTATCAACATGAAGTGCTATTACTGAATAGCTTTTTCACTCAAGCCAACTATAACCTATTATATATCCTTCCATCTATTGTGTTTATTGTAAATATATTTTAAACAAATTGTACAAATAAAATAGATATGACAAAAAAAAAAAAATATCAACAGTGTTTCATAGATGTGGTTATGTAAGTGTGGCTTTTCGTTTAAGACCCGACACTTAAAACGTGATAAAAAATTACTATTTAAAATACTAAAACTACTATTGTATATATTTGATTAATACTCATTATTAATTGTTTGTTGGTGTTAGAAGGATTTTTGAAACAATATAGAAATTCAAAACATTACTATTCGGAATTACAATTTGAGTTTTATTGGATTTAGGTATCATAATAAGGTAATATGATATAGTGGCATACACACTGGTTTTTCGACTTTGCTCAATTTTTTATATATAAAAATGAAAATGTTTTTAAAGAATAAAAATCTTAATATTTTTCAGAATAAAACCCCCTTTTCCCCTTAAAAATGTAAATGTACTCATACATCACTACATGAATATTAAAAACTTACTTTCTTATCCGAAAAAGTAAAAGCACACATATTATTTACATTTAATTTTAAACAATAGAACGAATCAATTTAGAAAATGTTAATTAATAAGACAACGTTAAATGTAACTTATTTTTATCCATGAAGGGCTGAGAGACACAAGCATTAAATATATAAAGATTTATTTTCTTCATGTGTGAACCAAGGCTTAAAGTTTTATATAAATTACAATTAATTTCTATTGTCTGCATCAAGACAGGAAACATTCAATAAATATTTGTTCACAGCAAAATATGTACAAGTATCCCGGCCACTTTATTCAATCATTCCGTACTGCAAAATAATTACGCATAATAATCTGACGATTATATTTTGCTGATTTTAAACTATACAATTTTTGAAAAATGAGCCATTCACAATAAATTAATGTTAGTAAAATAAAACTAGATATATTTAATATTATACAGTAAAAGATGACATGAAACAATAATATTCATTGAATCTATTTGAGTAACTTCAATTATTTTTTAAATAATATCCTATTATTGTAATTAAATAAATATTTTAGTAGCAATTAGGTGCGATCTTATGCACCAACTCTAGTAAGGGAAATAAAATATAAAATACATCTAAATCCTATCTTCAGTTATAAACCAATATACGTTACATATATTATGCATACAATTTATACTAATATAAATTAATTGCGATAATAATATCATCTATAATACTCGGAACACCAAATCAAATATTACTTAATAAGGTTTGGAAGATAGACGTATTTAATATTATTAATATATTGGTCATGAAGGAACCGGATATATAATGTATAGTCTATATAAATTATATTCATGGTTTAGTTCTTTTCCTAGCCATTAACTGTGACAAAATAATAGTTTTTATTCACAAAACTTATTTTGTACTGAATATTATATTTTTACTGTAATAAATAACCCATAAGGTGTTAATAACGTTAATAACACATTCTTAATTAAAGTTAAAAATATAAATCAAATAAACTACAAAATCAATAGTGTTATACATTACTTCAGTAATTTCTAAGAAGTATCATTGTAAATTATAATATAGGACAATGTTATACAGATTTAACAGAAATATTAACCTGAAAAAGGATCTACGCATTAATACACAGTCTAGTTCATCCTATTGTTCGGCAGTTTTTTTGTAAGCGGTCGAGTGAACTTCCGTAGCGCCCTTCATATCCCATCAAATAACCACCTGACATTTAGATTTTTACAAAATTCCTACAAATTAAACTGTATCCGGTTGAAAAGTTTCATATTAAAATATTTTGTACTAATGTAATAAACTAACAAATGTTTAATATATATTATTTTTATTGTTTTTTTAGTTTAAAAATTTCAATTTTTGAAACAATTGAATACCTATACATTACGATGAAGCTCAGCAGAAATAGAAATAGATATATATTATAGAAATGAATACGAGTGTTTTATTTTAAAACCCCTAAACATTATAATTTCAATTATTTTTAGGGTTTCTCCATATAAATGTCATAGTTAAAAAAAATAATTTTACGCCTAACCACATTATGAAAATAGATATCAGAAATTCACCCGACACGAAAGCTATTAACGATACACATATAAAATCATATATATAAACACCGGATATAAAAAAATATATTCTCAGGGAGATTTTTTTTCTTTTAGAAATTCTAGTACATAAATAAATACATTATACAAAATGATATCAAATACACCCAATGATAGAAACCAAAATAATTCGTATTAAATGAAGGTTATTATTTGTTATAATATGAAAGTAGAAATATAATTTATACATATATATGTATATATATATATATATATATATATATTACCTGATTCACTACACATTCAGAATTGCATAAAAGCTCTCCATGATTTATAGTTTCATTCTGAAATAAAATAATTAAAATTTAATTAATTAGTAGTTATAACCATTATAAATTCGTCTATTGTTAAAAATTATAGTTTTCTTAATATAATAAAATTAATGAAATTCATAAAATTACATTTCATAAAATAGTTATTCATTGATAAGGGTACAAAAACTATCAATTAAAATAAATTTTTAAAAATAAAATGTATATATTTTACATTTGTGTTTTTGTTCAATACTTATTTTACTAGTTAGTAATAAGTTAGTTTTATTAATAAGTACTAATTTTTATTGTATTCGTATTTTGAAATTTAAGCGTAAAAAAAATCATTATCATAAATTAAAATAAGTTTTATTTTTATTTTTGTTTCTAATAAATACGTATCGTATTCTTTAGATGGATAAATTAAAAATAAACAAATAAATCAATTAAATATAATATACAGTACGTATCATTGTAAATTATGCGTTAATAACTTTATTCGAATAATTATAATATTATTTATACTATATATACTTGAAATATGATAATAGAAATTTAGTAATAAATAAGAGCGATTGTATATTTTTATTTGCTGAAACTCAGAATAGCCAAAAGCTAATAGCCTTAGTTGCCGGACTTATAATAAGATCAATAAAATAAACTCTGAGTAAAAATGTTTTTCCAAATTATGAAATTTTTCAGAGTCAACTTATTTAAATATTTAGTACATAGTTTAATTTCCATTAACCATTTAAATAGTATGATAAAGTAGGACGTAAGTTGATGTAAAAACACGGCGGACAGTCTGTATATTAAATTATAACTGCTGAGTACAAACTACAACTATATATACAATTTTATCAACCAACCAACTATGTTGGTATATTAATATTATATGATTTTGTAATTTCACTAATAAACTTTTTTATTAATTTTAAATCTATTACTCATGTGAAATGGTAGAAGTTATAATTTATTTATTAAACTAATATTATAAAATACCTATTTATATAATATGCATTAACGTAATACATTTTAAAATTAAAATAATTATAAGAGTATATTTTTTAAACACAAAAATAATAATAGTTAGGTAGGTAATTAAAAATCATTTTATTCATCTGAAAAAAAATACGAAAATTAAATTACGATTGAAAAAAAACTATATCTAATGTAGTAGAATTATTCAAAAATATAACCTAAATGAAACAAATACGCGTGAGAATTTATTAACGTTAAAACAAGTGCCCAAAGAAACACTAAAGAATCACATTTTTGAACAGGTGGTTGAATAAATGTTCATTATCTACCTGCGAGTGAAATAAGCGGACATCCTGTACGCCCTTGTAGACACGTTAACTACCTTTAATAGTAACTGTCTGAATGAACATTGTTATTTTTTTCTTTACTAGTAACAGGTAGGATATGAAGAGAATAATTTTACTACATTTAAATATGAAGATCATTACTACTACTACGATTATTAATACAAAGGTACAGTATTTCTTTATAGATACTTACTTCTAAAATGTATTAAAACTACTTTTAAATACAATTATTTAGTAATTGTTAAGTAAACTATTATTTTTATAATCAAATAAAGTTATGACTAATTATTTAAAGTTTATAAAAACAGTTCAGTAATTTTATTATGTGAATAACTAAATTACGTCATAGCAGCAATGTATCATACTAATCTATACTATAATAAGAACAATTTGTACTAATAGCCGACATGGTTATATTTAATATCCAGATAGTTGACCGATACCGGTAGGCTGCAAGGGCAGGAACGCATTTCATAAATACAAAGAAACTTAAGAAACGCAATGTAAACAAAAATAAAATTCCGGCAATACAATAAGTTAATTTCAATTTAATTATAGAATTGAAATTACAAGTTAAATTAACTGTACTAATTTATATTTACAAGGTCAATCAATCTTTAAGAAAGCTACTCATAATTTCGTGTTTTCCCCATCTTATAAACGTAAGCCAAAGCAAATTTGCGATCATAATCAATTACGTGTTATTAGAATATTAGAGCAAATTAATTTATTATTAAATTTTTTAACGAGATATATGTAAAGTATTAAAATTAATAACATTTTCATTACTTGCTTAAAAATTGAATTTTCGTAAAAAACCAAAGTACAAATACAGATAATATTCTTACCGTAAATTTGATAAAAGGTCAATTTATTAATTTATAATTTAATGTAACTTATTACTATTTATATTAACAAATCATTTTAATAATACATGATTGAAATTAACAATAAACTAATTCATGTAATTTCTTTTATTATTTTTAAATGTTGTAAAACCAATATACCTACACTACGTCTTTTTCAACTAAAAGTACACTAAAGTTTTATTTTATTAATATAATATCTTCTCGTAATATTTTATTGATAAGATGAATATGATCTATAATATTTATATATTATATATACATACATATTTATGAGTAAAGTTAATACAAAATATAAAGTTTTAACTTGTATAAGCAAAAGACACGCAAATAATATACATAAATAGTTTAACTAAAATGTTTCATCATGTCAGCGCACTAAATTGCCTTAATTAATTTGTGAATTTTATGGCCAGGAAATATATAACTATAGAGAGAAAATATTAAACAATATTATACTTGAATGCAATTGTAATAATTGCTCTTAATAGTCTTAATAGTATTACTTATTAAAAAAAAAAAAAACAATTAACATCTCTTATTATGTTCATTAATACTAGTTTATAATCTTGAAATCTCCAAAAATAGCATTTAAAAGCTGTTCATTTTCAATGATAACCTCTCAGTTCAAACCATTAATTTTAATTACAAGAGCCACGGTGTTCCATTAAATTTAAAAAAATTCTAGTTAAATATGAAAATATATATATGTTATATATACAATAACTGTAATGTTTTAAGCAATGAATACAAAAATTATTTTTAAGTTTACCAAGTAAAACTAATTAAATCCAAACCAGTAATAATATTAGACAAAAGTGAAATACATCTTTATACTAATTGACGATTTTGATGATAATATCAATAAAATTAAAATGTATACCTATAATATTATATTTTATACCTATGATTAGTACGATTACAAATGCGTAAATAATATTATTTTATTGATACGAATAATAATTTAACCAATTTAACCAACAAATTAATAATTTGAACTGAAATTAATAATATAAACAGAATATTATTGACAAAAGATAAAACATAATATACCTTTCAAAGTGGAATTCAATATTATCTACTTTAGTAGTAACGTACATTATTTTAAATTATGATTATATTTGTAATCAGCTTATCGTAGTAAATAGTGATCAATTATTTATTTAGAATAACGGTAAAACAATAATTATTTCATTTACACGTATTAAAGATTTATTATTTATTAATTTTACTCATTAGTTGTAAACAAATATTAGGTATCTTATCTATATTTATGAATATTATAAAAAAACATTCTTTCTTCATTATCTGACCTTAATACCTATCATTTTTAACTTTTCAATTTTACACCGATAGGCATATATAATTAATATGGACCAATTATTTCTAGTTATAAAATATTACCTACATCAAATAAATGTATAAAGGAATACAAACCTTAAACATATTTAACATAACTATGAAAATATTATAATACTTAATTATTTATTTTTTTAATTAAAAAAATTATTTACTCATTATTCATAAAAATTGAATTTAGTAGAAATACAAAAAAAATATGTACGCTTTTAATATTGTCTAAAAGCTGGCTGGTTTTAAGCTAAAATATTACTCTATTGGGTAATGGTAAATTCAATCTCTCCATACAAAAATCAAAATACATACTATTTTTTAGCGTCATTGAATAACCTAACCGCGTCACATATTAAATTTGTTGTGTAGACCAAAAACATATACAATTGATACATACCTACCTAATTTAAATACCTATAATAAAAATAAAAATAGTAAAACATTAAAAAAAAAATTACTAACATACTATTCTGTCGATTCTTCAAATTATTTGTAACCAATTAAGTGCATTATTGAATACAGATTTACACTGATATTTAAAAAATGTATTTTAATTGGTGATGAATGTTTTTGATTGAAATTAGGTATAAAATATTATTCAAAAGTGTTGAAATGATATAAACGGTTTATCGCTATAAGTATTCAGATGACAAAACAATAAATATTGGTAGTTTCAATACTAAATAGTAGTGTTTTAATTGATAAGGAAAATTTATTTATAGATTTGCTTATTAATCCAACGCACAAATATTTTATTTGCAATAGTTATTAATTATCTGTAAAAGGTATATAGACATATAGTATCGTTAAAAATAATCTTAGGACATTTCCTATAATAGTATAATACTGAATATATAAATTTTAATTTAAAAACTGAAAAATATCCAACTAAACACGGTTAAACGAACAAATTATTTACCTGTAAATGGCACCTTTCATTGCATTCCAAACGAATGGTATCCTTTTGAAAATCTGAATGCGCAGAGATTTTGATGGCCAACACCAAAGTTAAAAATAAGTAAAGATTATCCATGATCAAATTCCGCGTGTGTGCGTAACGATATACTATTAAAAGTTATAATATTGATGAACGGGACGTCGAAGTGACGAAGATACACATAGAGGCAGCGCACACAAAATTCAATTCATAACCACTATATGACTATATTATGATCCATGCGAACTGCGAAGGTCGCGGAAAAACTGAAATCTAAATTTGTCGGACCCGGGACCACTGACCAACGATTGGTGACGACGAAGAGCTAAAATTTACGCATACAACTGAACCACGGTCGCATCAGAAACCGTACTAGTGGACTCTACTACTCTAGTAAACTGGTTCGTAGGGCCGTGATATTCAAAGTTTGCGCCGTACTGCGGGTAACGAAGAGAGAGAGGAGACTGCAACAGCTGCAGCTGATGCTCATACCAGCTAGCGCCACCAATCATTCACCGATGGTCGAAAAATGTACTATATACCATCACACTAAAAGTTCCGCGGTGGTGCAGGTCGGGTCGATTCTTATCATACGTTATCACACCGCATAAATATAATAGAAATAAAATAACAATAAAAATTCAGCCTGATACATTGATGATAATAATATTAATTATTAATAATAATATTGTGATAACGTCCGGATCGTTGCACGGGCTAATAAAATAATTACACGATACATAATATAGATGATCGTTATTTTAGTCATTTGTTTGGTGATAATAATTAATTTTTATTTTCTCACCACTCGTCTCCTGACCCGTAGGTGTGTTTTAACCATTTTACGGGTAAACATTAATGTACGCCAACTGTGTTGTTGGCCTACTACCGATCACCACGACTGTTATTATACACTTCGACTTAGTAGAGGGACTACAAACAACTGTTTCAACACACATTTATACAGCATCATGTTATAACGTTACAGATACGTGTTCGCCAGCTACTAATATGGAGCTCTTCTACACCATTCGACGGTTGGATTTTGTAGTGGCGAATACGTAAAATGCTCTATTCCCAGGATCTAGGTACGTTACATACTGTCTATCCTTTATCTCGTTTTCTCATTTGTATTAAAAAGCTCCCAATTGGTATTACTCGATTATTATTGTTACAGAATAATATAAAGTTTAGTCTTATACTCTGGTGTTGTCAATCTCCTACATGCTACGGCCTTTTGCAATAACTCAATTGAAAATTGAAAACATATTATGCTTGTTGCTAAAATCTTTCATAATTGTCTATAATTAATTTAAATCATAAAGTTATTATTTAAAAATATTTTGCAGTTAATTTACAATAATTTAATTGTGTTATACTACCTATATTTTAATAGTAAAACTTTTATTAGAAAAAATCCTGCTGCAAATTTATTATTTTTTGGCCTATTTATCTATTTAATTGTTTGGAAATAAACTTTTTTTTCTAATACCAGTACCAGCATTAAAATTTTTTGATCATCATTAAGTCTTGGTAAAATATTTTTCTATTATTTTCTTTTTACTGATTGTCTATTGGCTTCAGTGTTTAAATTTAATTAAGTTAGGTACTTAACTTACTGACTAATAAGCTAATAAAATAAACTATTATATTATGAACAATTATTTCATAGTTAAGAAAAATTAGTTGTCAAGTATTGTTTCTTTTATTTTAAATAATTAAGTTTTATTGACATTTGTCATTTTTAATTAATTAATTTTTTTTTTATTTAAAAAAAAACATTACATTTTGTATACACTAATACAGTAAGTAAATTTGTTAACATTTGTACAAGACTTGAAAAATAAGAGCCCAGGGAACATCCATCAAAACTACTTCCAGATAATACATTTTAGAGCATTTGCTTTATCTAAAAAGTACTATCAACATTTCTTATTTTTATACATTATTGTGTGATAAAGTTCTTTTGGGTAAATCCTTACTTATAGGTATTAAACAATTAATTATATCAATGTTTAATTAAATTTAAACATAAATCTTTGTTATCTATAACTATTCTTAGATAAGCACCATTCATTATACATAAATGAAATACCAAATGCCTATTACTGCCTATTACTAAGTATACACTGCTAATATGCTATACTCTCTGTAATAATTTAAGTTAACATCCTAATCTAAAATTTTAAATTATTTATTAACAAATCATGTTTAATATTTATCTACTATTTTTATAACAATTAAAACATCCAATCTTAAAATGAAAATGTTTCAATTATACTAAAAATTATGATAACATCCATTAGATTATCTTTATTTTCTTCATTATACAGAATTTTGCATCTGTATACTACACAGTAAAATGGTTATATTTTTAAGTGTCCTAAGAAAGTCAAATCGATTACCAAACAAATTTGTGAAAAAACAATAATATGAAATAATAAAATAATTTCTTGGGGTAACTGCCCTGCTGATAGTTATTAAATCACTGCATGTCTGCATAATAATGTAATTATACTTGTTTAAACTAAGTATTAAAAAGTTTAAACATGTATGTTCATAAAAATAATGTGTTTAGGTATATTCTAATAACTATAAATTAATTTGATTATGATTATATTTGTACTTATAATACAGTATCAGATATTTTTTTAACTTTTTTTGACTAATATTTCAGTAATAGAATAATTTATTTACAGGTATCTATGTATTATGTTGCAAGATCCCTACATCAATTTATTTTTTATTGTGCAATAAATTATGACAACAATTTTCTAATCAATCCTCATATTTGGACTGATGTAAGTATACTATTTATATTTACATGTAAACCAGTGGTCTCAAACATACGGCCCGCGAGCCACAAGTGGCCCGCGAACCCCTTCTATGTAGCCCGCAATAAAAATACATTTTGAACAAAAATATGAAAATATTGCAGCTCAAAAATAAAAATTATCAAATATTCAAGCTATTTTTAAATTTTAATTATAATTTTTTTTTAAGTTAACGATCATTATATTTTTTTAATGATAATTTTGTAGTAATAAAAAGTAAATAAATGGATTTTGTATGTATTTTTGCCTTCATTTTGTCTTTAGTTTCTAGTGTATAAGTATAAAAGTGACACTTAAAATTTGGCCCGCAAATTTTTTTTGAAAAAATATATGGCCCGTAGGTATTTTGAGTTTGAGATCACTGATGTAAACTATCTAATCTATTGTCAAGTTTAATATATACTTAATACCTACCATAATTTATTTATAATAGCTTATATTTTTAAGTTTTTTTTTTTTTTGATCTTATTTAAGCCCGGCAACTAAGGCCATTAGCTGTGGATAGGAACAGTAGGTTTTTTTTGTAAGATTTATAAAGTTTTGGATAGTACACAGTTGGAGCACGTGTGTGTATGTGTGTGCGCAATGGATTCATCACTAAGAACTCGGGTAGTCACCCATCTGAAAGCTAGTGACGACAGCCGATGCTTGACCTCAGAACATATTAATGACTGAGACAACCACCGCACCACACCAGTCCACTTTTTAAGTTTTATTTATTATTTATTGTACAAATAAAATTAGTATGAATTATATGATAATATATAGGTATAATATTAGTTATCATATTTTTATACATTTATAAATTATGTTAATTTATTGTATTTTATTATTTTTTCTACCAATAGAATTCAATATCATTAAACTTAAATTAAAATTCAACAATAAAATCATTGAGTTTTATTTACATAGTTTAATTAAATCTATTTGCACCCTCTTATTGCATTTAATAAATGCAGGATAATTTCATCATATCCTACTACATACAATATTTATCTATTTCCATTCATAGTTGGGCTCTATCAGCATGCGCGTGCTGATTACTCTTAAATTTTTTAAAATGTATTTAGTTTATATTAAAAATAATGGTTTATTCTTTTATGACAAACTAGAATGTTGTAAATATTTTACTTTTAGAATGTAAATTTGTCAAATCTTTGAATACACTTTGATAATTTACTTTTAATGGAATCCTACATTGAAAATGTTTTAATAAGAATATTTTTTTGCAGATATCAAGTACCTATATTTTTACAAGAAAAATCTATATTTGTATTAAAATTCAAATAACAGAAACGTCATCAGTCAAACATGATTTTGAATATTATAGCACAAATATTATTGATAATTAAATTAAAGTCCACCATTTAGTTATTATATGCTACTATGAAAAAAAATCGGTTTTTAGTATTAGTTTTGTTCATTATTTTTATATGGCTTGGTATTAATCATTTTATACTCAATGATAATTTTATTTCTAAACCCAATAATTATCTTGATGAAAATTTGGATGATTTTGAGTTGCGTTTAAAAATTGAAGTAGAAACACATAATTTAATACGTGAAAATATTAAACAGTTAAATTATTCAAGCCATGAAGATAGTTATCAATTTAATGAACATAATTTATCAAATTCATCGAGTGTTGCTATTTTAATAATTGCTTGTAATCGTCCATCTATATCAAGGTGCATAAACAAATTACTAAAATATCGCAAATCAAAAGATGAGTTTCCTATCATCGTGTCTCAAGATTGTATTCATGAAAGAACATCACAAGTTATAAAAAGTTTTGGCAGAGAGTTAATTCATATACATCAACCTGATCAAAAAGAAATTAAAGTGCCATCTAAAGAAAAAAAATTTAGTGGTTATTTCAAAATATCTCGACACTATAAATGGGCACTTAATCAAGTTTTTAACACATATAATTATGAAACTGCAATAATTGTTGAAGATGACTTGGATGTAGCTCCAGATTTTTATGAATATTTCAAAGCTACATTACCAATTCTTCAAAAAGATGAAACTCTATGGTGCGTTTCTGCTTGGAATGATAATGGAAAATTTGCATTGATTGATAGAAATGATCCAAAGCTGTTATATCGGTCAGATTTTTTTCCTGGTCTTGGATGGATGTTAACTCGTAAATTATGGATAGAATTAATGCATAAATGGCCTCACAGTTATTGGGATGATTGGATGAGACATCCTGATCAAAGAAAAGGCAGATCATGTATAAGACCTGAGCTATCCAGAACCAAGACATTTGGAAAAATAGGTGTTAGCAATGGCCTTTTTTATGAAAAACATCTAAAATATATATACTTAAATGAATTACCAGTTGATTTTACCAAATTAAATTTAACTTATTTACTAAAAAATGAATATGATAATAATTTTGTAGAAATGGTATATAGAGCGCCACTTGTCAGTATAAATGAACTCAAAAATAAGCAAATTGGTCACAATGATCCTGTGAGAATCATCTATTATACCAAAAATAACTTGAAATCTTTAACAAAACTATTTGGTCTCATGGATGATTTCAAAAGCGGTGTACCAAGAACTGCCTACAAAGGCATAATTAGTTTTACATATGATAATAGAAGAGTGTATTTAGCACCTGTTAAAGAATGGCATAGTTATGATCCGAGTTGGCAATGATTTACTATCTTTTTGAATATAGTTTTATATATAATGTAAATAAAATATAATATTTTTAATACACTCATTTTATTTTAATTATAATTTAAACTCAATATATCTACATTACTAGTATACATATGTAAAAGGTGTTTCTTAAGTAGCACAGCTTTTAATTTTGGTATAAATCAATTTAATTAAAAATAAAAAGTGTATAAATTATTTTATATTTTGTTTTTCTACTATAAGTTGTGAATCAAATGTGAAATACTATAACAGGAATTCATCTACTTAACTTTCTTGATCAAGTGTTTCTTAATTAACTGAAAATAGATGTAATTTTTAATCAAATGTTATCAGCTTTATCCATCAAGCTCACTGACGATCCAGTAAATTCCTTGCTTGAGATCTATTAAAGTTTACAGTTTTTTTCTTAAACCTGTGATTTACTCAACTTCTAAACATAAAGTGTTACATGGAATTTAATTTCATATTCTCGGTAGCGTGAGACAAGAGTTTGCCGTGCAACTTTTCAAAAATCAAAGCATTTATCATATTGGATTTATAACTAGTAACAACATTCTGCTTGAATCAAATTTCTTCACATTTAAATCTCAACTTATAAAGAAACAAAATATATAATAGCTAACATATTAAAAAAATATTAAATGTTTAATGCAAAATTAAAAGCAGCGTTCTTTATGAAACCTTTTTTTATATTTTGTTCACCAAAGAATATGTAGAATAATATATTCATAATGAGAAGTTGATTTATTATTATTATTTTTTTTTTTATTTTATATAAATTTTATAGTTCAAATTGGCTGTTATAACTAATAAGATTTTAATTATCTATTAAATTATTTTGTTATCTTATTTATAAATTAATAATTAGAAAATTATTGTTTTGTGTTTTATTTGTTAAAAAGAAATTGGGTATAATAAATATATTTGAATAGCTATTTATCATTTATGTATTAAATATTTTATTTTTTTTTTTTTTGTGTTTTGTTTACAAGGCACATTTAATCAATAATGTAGGTGATAAATGTTTATTTACACATCCATTGAACTAATATAATATTATTTTATCGTTATAATATGTATTGTATGCAACATAGACTATTAGAGATAGGCTAAAAACATTTAGGATACAATTAATACAATAGTTTAACTAATTGGTAATTAGTTGAAATTTAAAACTCATGTAACAAAAATAAACCAATTTAGTAATAAAACAAAATTGTTAAACCAGTAGAGTACTAGGGTTTTGACTAAAATTTAAATGGTATGAATATTATCATTTATTATAAATTAAACCAGTACTTTTAATTTTCATATAATAGCTAAATAATCATTAATCCATAGAAATTCCATACGGGTTGAAACCGTTTTAATTCCAGTAGATCATCTACCTAAACTTAAAAAATATGAATAACCTAGTACCTATCCAAATTTAAAATTTATAGGTAGGTAAATTAAAATAATTAAAACTATTTTACTACAGGTATTGAATATTAAAATAACTTAAAAAATTATTGTTAAAATTAAATTTTAAAAATCTTTTATTCTTAATAACTAAAGATAAATACAACCAGAAACTCATTCTACTGTAGTGTCGTATAGTAAGTATCAAGTATAAGTACCTCGTCGTTGTGATCTTACCAAGATCACTAATGGAAGTGGAAATTTGAATTCAATATTTCATTATAAGTATACGAAAAACATTTCTGAGTGGATATGATCTATCATCATATATATTACTAAATATTGATAATAATATTGTATTTTTTTACAGTAGGTTGAAATTATTTATTACATATAATTTATCAGTTATCAGTGTTGAAATGTAGGTACCTATTTTGTGAGTTATATTTGTTTTTTGGTACTAATTTAGAGTAGATATTGCAGCACTAATTATTATGCATATTTTATAATAGGTATTAGTAATAGAATACCTATATTATTTATATATATTATATAACTATTATATTCCGAGAAGGCTAAAGAGATATTAAAGAGTAGAGATTTACTAGTAAAATAAAACAATTTTAAAATTATGTAAATTAAATTTGTTGTGCTTAAATTGGAGTTTTATTTCCGTAAATAAAGAATTATTGTTATTTTTTTTAATCATAATATTATTTATGTCTACTATGTCCACATAGAAGTGTATATATATATTGTAATTTATAAATATTAAATTGTATAATTAAAACGCGTTAAAAAAAGTTTAGTGCTTAAAAAGATAAATAATAAATATATTTTATTTGTGTGACGTACATTCAAATAAATGCTCTTTCAATCTTCATTTTAAATACGTCACTGAATTACCTACTATGTAGGATTACTGCTATTAGGTATATAAGCAAACTACCTTAACTACCTACAGAGGAACATAAATAATATGCTCTCACAAATATGTTAAATAAACTTTTCGTTACTATTAAATTGTTATGTTTATGTATCTATACTGTATATTTGTAAGTAATATTTTAAAATATATTTTTTATATTTATTAAATGGTAAGTATAACTTAAATAAATAATAATGTGTTGGTAGATCAAATTTTAGTATTTAAGTGCAATTCAATAATAGTCTAGGTGGTTGACAGTATCTAAATATGTTATAGATACAGGTGTATAATATTTCATTTGGTATACATTTATGTCAATTAAAAATTAATTATACATTTATACCTACACGGCTACACATAACTTCAAAAGTGAAAGCAGTTTGAACACTTTAGACTCGGAATTTACTAACCATAGTTCATAATGATCGTTATTATCTTTTATCATGCATTCGCGCGTACATACCTAACATTTATAATAACTTAAAATGTACTTACTTATATTATATATATTTAAAATTTTATACCTACATATTATTCAATTGGTGGATACGTAGGAATTAGTTTATGTCATGAAAATATGTGGAGTAGGTAATAATTATGCGTGGTGGTCAGTAAATAATTAGTAGATATACCTACTTACATACATTTTACAGACCTATATATAAAATTAATCATAGTCAGAACACGTTATTCATTTATTCGGTGTTCTTAGTTCTTACCCAAATGTATAAGGTACCTGGTATCTTTATTGAGTTAAAATATAAAAATATTTAATTTCGTATTATAGATTAAAACATTAAATATAAAAACTAAATTAACAGTATTTGAATTTTAAACAGTTTAATATTATACTGCTGTGTGGATTACAATAGTTAATAATTATACATTTTATATTTTTACATTTGATTATTTTGAGACCTATGTTTAATTAAAATTTGTTTAAAAAAATACATAATGTACCTAGTCTGGTTATTCTAATTATTTGATGTTTAATGTTTTCAAAAATTAATAGGTATTATGTCGCATTACAAGATGCCAATTGCTGAATATGTGTACATAGAACATTTCGAAGAAATGAATGTAGATCAAGATGTTTATTTAACATTTACTGACAAGGAAAATTATAACGATCGATTTCTGTACGTACATGACTTACTAAAAGAATATAATTGGTTACCTACAAAATGTGATAGTCATATTAGACTATCACAGGCGCATCGACGATGGAGAAAACGACTAAAAAAAAACCTTAAAAAAAATGGAATATTTATAAATATGGATTGTACCACAGCAAACAAAAATAATAATATATCTGATCAATATAGATCACGTGGCAATGAAGCGTTTAAAATTAAAAATTATGAGGAATCGCTAAAAATGTATACTCTAAGTATAATGACAGCAGAAATTTACTCTCCCAACTTTGCTTTATCAGTGGCAAATAGATCTGCTACTTTATATCATTTAGAAGAATACGAGAATTGTTTAAAAGATATTGATCAAGCATTTAAATCTAAACAATATCCATTGCAAAATCATTACAAGTTACTTGAAAGGAAAGGAAATTGTTACCGTCAGATGAACCATACATATCTTGCTTTAGAATTATATTCGGTATGTTATATTTTAATAATTTAATTTAAATAATACTTTTATACGGCAAATAACAGTGTTGCACCTGAATTTATTTGAGCACTGAACAATCCGTAGGCGTAGCCAGATAAAGACATTTGTGAGACCACTGGGCAAATTTGAAAATGTAATCTCTATCTAGATAAAAATTCAGACAGTTCAGTATTAGTAGTATTACTAGGAACAGTAGTTCCTACTGAAAGCTCTCTCATCTAAGATAATAACATTTTTAATTTTTTGATGTATCAATGTATTGTTCTATGGTTATTAATTTCACGTTCTGTATTAATAATTAACTATTAATTAGATATACTTATTGCTTATTTAATAATATAATTTAAAATTAAATTAATAGTTTTACAATTATATAGACATATAGTGTGTGTCTAAGTCACATATTGACATATAAGTGTATCACCATAGATAAAATATATATGCTATTTATAGTTAGTATATTTATATATTTCTGTCTGTATCATCTTTAGTATTTTAGCAAAAAATCAATTTATTTAAATGCCAGTTTTTTTTTATTTAATAAATGAAAAAAATCTAACTAAATAAAGATTTAAATTATTTTTTTTTAAATTCAAAAATTTCAAAAACAATTATTTTATGCATTTTAATTTTTAAATTTCCAAAATAGCCATTTACTTATAATTTTCTTTTTAAATTAATAAGTTTTTTAAATTTATAGTTTTTTTATTAGTCTAAATTATATTATTATACATCATTGATAATATTTATTATAAATATCTATTTTAAATAGTTATATTCTTGATATCTATTTATTTTCAGGATTGTTTGTCACATTTAAATAATAATACTTTTATAACTCTTGATGCCAAAGCAAAAATCAAAATCAGAATATCAGAATTTGTGAAAAAATGTGAAAAGGCAGAAGAAAAAACAAAAAAAGTGAATGTTACTCGTATATATAAAAATTTTACAAAACTTAAATTTGATAAAAATTCTGATTCATTAAAATGTATTGAAATACAAAATTCAAAAGAAATGGGAAAAGGACTATTCGCATCAAAAAACATAAAACCTGGTATGATTTATACTTTATAATTTATACTAATTAGTGATTAGTGATTACCGTTTTATAATCTTAAATTTCCGTATCTACACAATGTACACATTATAAGCAAATATATTGTGTGCAATCAGTACACAGCACTATAAATTATAATCCATCACACAGTTTGAAGAGATATGTTTTCTAATATCAATATTTTATATAATATCTTACTGTCTTAATAATAATAATTAATAATGAAAAACTATCGTTCTAATTCAGGGTTATATATCAATCACTTAATATTTATAATGAATCAATATTGAATAGTGAGCTAGTGATCCTAAGCTCCTAAAACACGAATTGGTGACTTGTATAATTGGATTAAATTAATCAATTATTCATGCAACCCAACATAATAATTTAATAAACATATAAATATATAATAATTAATAATATATATTATCTCGAAAATAATAATATAGAATGAGTGTACCATCTAACTTATAAAAAATTAAAACTGCATTACCATTATAATACTGCTGCAAGATATCTTCTTGGACTTAATTGTTAAAAAAAGTTAAAACTTAAAATATAAATAGATGTACCTATAAAGACATATAGTAGATACATTATACATATAGGTAATCTTAATATATATCAATATGAACAATATGTAATGCGTTTATAAATTTCCTTGTTTATTCCTTTAATAAACTTGAGATACCTATAATAGTCCTAATAATAATTAAAATACAAAGTCCAATTAAGCATTGGACGTCAAACCTGCCTATTATGCTATTATATCTACGTCTTTCATTATTATATAAAATATAAATATTTAGATATAATCATACATAAATTATAGATATAGTGTGAATCGTTATAGTGTTAACAATATGTGAATAATTAACTTATTATAAAGATTCATTGATGGAACTTCAGGCGTACCTATTTATTCATAAATATGAGTATAATAACTATAATATAAATTAAAATCAAATGTTTTTAGTTCAAAATTTTAAGTTAAATTGGCTATTTAAAAATATAACAATAAATTGTAACAACTTTATATGAATAAAATTCAAGTCTACGGTTTTAAGGTGAAATACTCATCGTAGAAGAGCCTATTGCTGGTGTATTTAAAAATAATAAGTGGATGTTTAACTGCAATTATTGTTTCAAACGATGTTTATCAGCCATACCGTGTTCGAAATGTTCACAGGTAAATCGATTTTTAATATATTTTAAATTATACAAGTTTATAATACTTATGAAATAAGTATTTTATTTATAACAGGCTATCTATTGTGATGAGACGTGTTTACAAAAAGCCTACGCCAGTTACCACAATATAGAATGTTCATTAGTCTATCCTCTCAAAGAGGATCCAACTGTTGAACCCACTCACGATTTGGCTTTACGTTGTTTTATACAGCTCATAAATGTAATGGGCATTGAATATTACAGTTCAATGGTACAAAAGTATAATGAATCAAACTTAAGTTTTGACGAAAGCAGCAATTATTGTATGGAATTATTTTATTCAATTTATGCACTGGATGGAAATGAAACCAAAAGAACAACATCCAATTTATTTTTTATGTATTGTACTGCATCAATGATGGTGTCTCTATTGTTGTTAAATGAATATGATATCCCTTCAAATTTGTTAGGCACCGTTGGTGAATCGTTAGTTCATTTGCTGTGTATAGCTAACTTGAACTCGTATGCGTCTATAGAGCTATCTAAATATATAGGCAAGAACAGCAATAATATTGTCTCAAATCGACTAGAAACTTTTGATTCTATCGCTTTAATTCTATGCTCAGTGTACAGTTTGATAAATCATTCGTGCGATCCAAATGTGATGGTTCAAACGTATAGTGGTATAGAAGTAACTCGGGCAATTCAACCAATTTCAAAAGGATCCCAAGTAAACCATATTAAACTCTACACACGTTGTTTTCACAAAAATTATAGTTTTATTTTACATTATAGGTATTTACTGACTATGGTGTCAAATTTATGTCACATAACAAAGAAAAACGCAATGCACATTTATTTGATCAATACCAATTTCAATGTCATTGTCAGGCGTGTATTAATGATTGGCCCAACTATGCATTGCTGGAACTCAATGAATTATTTATTGGGTATGTATGTATTAATATATTATACTATATAACTATTTAAGATGTATTAAAATAAAAATTAATAGAATTGATAGTTGGATAAATTATTGTAGTATAATTGTACAATCCATAATGATCTTCTGAAACTCAAAACTGTAAAACTTTGGTCATTATTTATTACCTATAAAATATGAATAATAAATATACATTTGCCTATCAGATAAACGTAGGTATAAAAAGTCACTTCATTTACGGTTTTGGTTAACAAAATAGGTACACATGATTATGTTGAATATATTAACAACAAAAGTGTATTGTTAAATTATTATCTATAAATATATTATATTAAATATAATAATATAATGATATACTTTTATTCTGAGTTAATAACTTAGTCTTAGTACATACCAAGGAACCTTTTACTTTTCAGCAAAACTTTTAGATATCACTGTTTAGTGATAAATGATAATTCATCCCAGAATTATTTTGGGAAATTCGATATCAACTGTTCTATTTTAAAAAAAAATCTTCATCAGCTAAACTATAATGTACAATAAGATACAATGAAACTATGCAAAACCAACAAATAAATAATACTTATCTTTCCTAAAAATATTATTGTGCATATAATAAAATATACAAATCAAGAACATACAGGTACAAACCGTGATTGGCGTAATTATAATATCGATACACCGTAACTGTACACTCATCATAGTCATTTTATAGTACCTACGAGATATCACCCTTATTACTCTGCACACAAGTTTTTTTTGTATTTTTGACTACTAATAGTACAAAAATTTGACATTTTTCACGAAATATTTTTCAAATAACCGTATATCTATCTTTATTTTTATTTGGAAGAAAACAGAACATAATTGATACAATACAAATACGAGTACACAGAGTACACTGCATTATCTACAATATGTGTGAGCACTAAATAACGGATGAAAAATGTTCGTACAATATTTAAATTTACCGTAGACATTTAAAGGGAATTACATATAAAATTTAAATTTGAATTGCATTAAAATATAATAATTATATGATTTAACGGATCATTTGCTATAATAATATGATATTCGTCTTTAAGTTTTAACTGTTATCTGCTTAGGTAATATTATAAATATATTCATTTACTTCCAAAAATCGATTTAGATTTGGAAGTTTTGGTGAATTTCGTATGCGTCCACGAAAAAATGGTATCTCTAAAACTTAATTTTGTGTCTTTAATGTTTAAGTTGATGCTGTTATTAAATTAGTTGCTATTTTAAGTTTTATTAACTTGAGAAACCGATAAACGATCAGTAATAAATCATCAAGTTCCTTTTTTATCCTGTTATACAATCATTTACCGAACAATAATATTGGTGTAGAATTTTCATGTAGATGTGTACTTGATTCTCGCGAAAAGTTATCATCAATGCCAAACTGTGTATAATTTTATTTTTTACACACTTAAATTACATCAATAAATTCATACTTTTAGTATTATAAAAATACTACAGATATGTAAAACAATAATATATACAATATTAAACATTTTTATTGCTGGGCATGTCTTCTTAACATAACACCAGCGAATTTTGCCACATACTCGTGACTGGTCGTGAGCAAAAGAATATTTATAATTATTAAAAATCAATCATTTTTTCCCTCTCTCGGACATTATTATTTCCATTGTATTTTTTTCACTTGCTAAAAAATGCATATTTTTTTCGTATATTATCCTATAATATGCAATACTAAACGTATATCGTGTATATAAAGTTCTTATACCTAGTGCATAATAAGTTTGGAAACTCGCTTAATTGCTATATGCATAATTTAATACTTATATGTGGAACAATAACAGATTGCTGTACATTTATAATGTATAATACTAGTTATTTTATAACTTCATTAATTATATCATATTATTGTTTATTAATCTCAATTAGTCCAAAGACCATTTTCAAGTTTATTGAATATTCTGTATTTATATATATATATACATGTATATTGTATATATAATATAAGTTTAAAATTTGCAACCAACGTTAGCCCTGTATCATAATTTTTGCGAATTACGCTTATGACTATATTTATCCATTTTATTTTATGACAACCTTGTTTGATGACATTTTTAAACCGAATAATTTTATGTAATTTAATATTGGATAAATTATTACCTTTTAATAAAGCACGCGTTACTTTGAATAAAATATGGTGTACGCTGCAGTGGCGGATTGTGCCACCCACCAGAGGACCGGAAGTTTCCCGGTGGGCCGGAGCTCGGTTATGACTCTATGGCGCTATTATCATGAAACTGATTTTATACCAATTTATTTTATATTTGAAATAGTCATTTTTTTTTTTTTTTTATAATTAAACAAACTAGTTTTCATGTATGTTTTATTTTGCAGCTATGATCTACTTCCTACTAACAAAGAGGACTATAACCAGCTTAGTATTCCAAAATCAACTCTATCAAAATTCAATGAAATTGTACATTTATTATTAACACAACGCAAGATAAATATTGATTATTTAGATTTTTTATTTAGATTTTTAAATTTGTTATACTTTAATTTAAAAAAACCATGTACCACTTACTATAAATGTATTCAATTAGTTCAAGCATGTTTATATTACATTTCAGATCAAGTACATTATATGCCATTGAATAAAAATATAAAATAATACATTATATATATAGTGGTATGAAGAATAACGCACACTCCTCTGCGTAGCGGCTTAGTATTGAACTCAGAAGGTACGACTACGAACTGCAGGTGATTCCGAAAGATGTTCATCCCAAAGCTTGTTTTAACACATTATATATCTCATATTTTTAATAATTGTTTAACTATTATTCAATCCTATAAAGTAATTCATTTGTAACGTCGCAGTTTTGGTTTCTTACGAAAAAAAACGACTAGTTATGTAGTACGCCTATATATTAGGTTTACGATGAAAGAACGGTCAAAAAATGAAGGCTATGGCTTCTTTTCAGTTTTCTGATAGTTTTGAAGTTTCCAGGTTATCTGTAATAGTAATATATCTCACTTTGAAGAATGTTGGTTAGTATAACCGACAATCTTTGCGCTCGTGCCAAACCGCCTAAATTCAACCCTTGCGGCTTTAATATCTGTTCACGTAATTCTAGATATATACTAACAGAACTCATAGCAAAATAACTTACATAGTACATATCTAAACTCTCAACCGCTCTTTCATCACAGCAGCATACTGGAACAATATAGGTACCTCAAATCCCCCAGCAGATTTCTATAATGTCTCATCATGCCATAGCTTAGCAAGATGTGTTCACCAAAATAGTAAAATGGCCAGAGTAATATAACTATGACCAGCCTTCACACAATACATAGTTAGCTTAATTTTTTTTTGTCTTTACCTTCAGAACTACTTTTTGTCTAAGACGCCAAAAATACATGACATTAACTAATAAGTTACTAAAAAACAACAGTGTATATGATGTATATAATAAGTGTACGTGGTATTAATAATATGTACTCGTGTCTTGTATTCAAAAAGTTTGGTAAAAGATCTTTTTCTTTTTTCTATAGTCAACATTCTTGAATTCTGATTTTTGAATATTATTAACTAGGGCTAAGATTTATATGTTTATATATTTTGTCTATAACTTAAGTAATCGGTATAAAATTAAAATAACAAATATATGTAATGCGTTAAACTTAACGAAATAATATAATATAATACGTGCAAATTCAGGAGTTGCATATTGTTCTATAATATAATCTCGATTCATAGCAGAGATCAAATAAGAAATCTAAACTATATGATGGTATAAATTTAAAAACCTAAAATTTAAGTTATCGACTTATCATAAATCTATTTATTGTTTATTCATTAGTTAATTTATTGTATATACAATTAACATTCACTGTATTATTTAAAATAATCTTTTCAATTTAAAAAGATGTTTTTGTTTTTTTTTTAGAATTTCGAATAATTCTTTTGCATACCTACTTAACATTTTTTGTGCATATTTAGCATGTTGTAGCTCCTATATAACTTCCGAGCTCTAATACTAATAATAATCCTGTTGTACGTATAGATTATGTACCTACGTAATATACGGGTATATTAGGTGTACAGGAAGAAATTTCCGAGAAAAAAAAATTAATTCATAACTTTTTATTGTAGCTATATTAATATTATAAGTGCGAGAAGTATGACAATATAAAATTACAATAATGATAATTTTTTAACAATAAAGTGCGCGATGTACGCTACAGCACTTTGGCACTGAGTGCATTCGAATATTACATATACCTATAAGTAAATTGGGTTAATGAGTGTTCAACAAAATATATGCATACTAATATGCGTGTTTATATTTTGACTATAAACATGACATGGGTGCATAACGTATACGACATATATTATATAAATGTAACATGCACTTAGCGTCAGCGGTGCGTCGCACGTGACGTATAATATTATTATTCAAACGTAGGCGACGGACTGTCAGTGACAGTACGGATAGTTGGGGCAGTTGTGCGGGCTGACGCCGGACGGGTATCTCTTGTTTGCGTACTTGAGCGCCTCGGCCGGTACCTGATGCGAGCAGTACGGGTAGTTGGGGCAGTTGGACGACGTGAGGCCGGCCGGGTAACCGGGCTCGGAGTACGGCGACGGGACCAGCGGCTGGTTGTTGTGGTAGTTGAACGCCTCGGACGGATGGTGTTGGTAGCCACCGGAACCATGGTACTGACCGGCGTTGTTGTTGGTGTAGTGGTCGTTGTAATCGTTGCCGGCCGCCGGTTGGGCGTACGCGGCCAACAGCACGTTGTCGCAGTGCGGATAATTGGGACACAGGGCCGGATTCAGTCCGGACGGGTACCGGGCACCGCCGGCCAGCACCGCCGCGGCTTGGACGGCAAAAACGACAGCCTGAGTACAACAGACCAACAACGGTTTGTCACGATATTTCGATGTACAGTAATACTATATTTATATATGGTCACGCCGTAATTATTAGGTATACACGTTAAACACGTGTGCCTATTGCAAATCCATTAAATAGGTAGGTATTGTGTAAACACAACAGATTACGATACCTATAGGGTTGTTCTCAAACATCGAACTTACCCTGATTATATATATATTTGGAAATGCAAGTTTGTGAAATGATCACAAACTTTTCAAGTATACCAAAACTTACTTAAGTGATTTTTTTTTTGTTGATTTTTTGAAGAATATATTTATAAAAAAAGTTTGGTAAGAAACCTATGGTAGGTATCGTTATACATAATAATATAACATGACCAATAATTCATAGAAAAATGTTTTCACATTTCACTACACCGAGTCTTTTGACCAGGAGTCTATCAGAAATTCTTAAGTTTCTACGATATAATAGTAACATCGTCTGTTACATAATTATAAATCATAACGAATGCGTAAATAATACATAAGACATAATACTAAATGAAATTATTTTATAAATAAATTCCTTGTGGTTTGTGCCTTAAGAAATGTTCATGATTCTTTGGGTATCTTTTTCAACTAGGGTTAGATTTTAGAATTTGAAATAATAAACAAATAAATTTAAATTTTTAAACTTTCGCATACATGTATAGTACTTAATTAATAACTATTAGTATGATTTAAAATGCATAAAAACATAATTCGTTATACCTCATAAAGTCTTAAGTCATGAAATTCTTATGTATACAAATAATTTTATCTAGCATGACTGCAACTATTAGAATATTCAAAAATATTACTAAAAATTAAAATACATACAAATATGTATTTTATTCAAAAGTCGACTGTATTTACCTGATATTAAACTATTATCGATGCATATTATTTCGACTAATCACGCCACGCGGTAACTGACTAATCAATAATGTATACTTTTAATAAAGATATTATTTTACTCACGAGTATTCCGATCATTATGAATAGATGAATGATATATATAATATTTGAGTTGTCTGAAGACTGCTTTGTTCCAACAAATGCACACAGTTGTAAGTTAAGACACTGTAGTTGCAATCGTAGGGCAATTTTTAATAATTATGTAAAATATAAGTTTAAACTTTAATGCGACAAATCGTAAACGTTTGCGGAACACGAATGTACAACGACTGGAAAAACTCGATTAAAACTTAAAAAATAAATTGGATGGTAATATATTGTTATATAAATTAGTTGTTTATATATTTGCACGTTGAACTCGATCTGTTGAACTGTGGAAATATGACGACGAAGTATGCGTTTGTCGTGGATGTGGCCGTTATTTATACAAAAGTCAAAAAATTTCAGATATTCTTATGCACGCCGCCGCCACTCCAAATAACCACCGGCGCCCACTACCAATAGCCAAAAACCGCAACCAACGAAACACGTAAGATACGCAATACGATATGATAATAAAATAATAAAACATTAACATTGGTACAATAATTGACGCAGAAATTTGTTGTCACGGTGGGCAATGTAGTGCGCATTTACCATAAAGGTTTAACATAATAACACAACTTGCAGTGACCGGAACACCGCAATAATAATAATAATAATAATGATACATTTTATTATTACAATAATATATTATGTATTTATATACCTATTATTATAAACAATAAGCATCGAAACAGGTGTGATAATATAATATTATGTTACCTTTTATACAGGGTGATTCATCCCTTTGTTCTTGAACAATGCAGTTATTCAAAATCTGGTTTTAAAAATTTTTAAATATATTCTCTAAGATACATAATTTTTGAAATTTTTTGTACTATTTGAGGAATGTTTTAAAATACTTCTAATTTTCAAATCGTATCAAAATTAAAATTGGTACGAGTAGTTTTTGAGTTATTTAACTTAATGTATGAAAGATAATAGGTTTAGGAGATACGGGTACTTAAACTATGGTGATTTGAAAAATGTAATAACTTACATACATTAATTTATCAATACCTATTTATAATTCGTAAAAATGGTTCAAATACACTAAATACTAAATCCAGTATTACTGTTATTTAATATTTTGGTAAAACCATTTTTAAGGACTATCTATTTATTAGTATTCCATCGATTAAATATTTCAATAGTTAAGAAATTCTTGTATATTAGGAATTAAAATTTTGAATTAGAAAATAAAAGTTCAAAAAAATGTCCCAAAAATATTATAATGTTTAGTAAAAAGTGAAGTTCTGATTTTAAAAACAAATATTAGTAATCTGTATCGTCATAGGATATATTTAAGCAGTGAAAATATCTCAAGATTTAAAATATTGGTTTTTAAAATTCCAACGATCAGAATACAAAAAAAATTCTTTAGCTATGGAAAAACATTTGGGTGAGCATGCTTAGTGAATCACCCTGTATTACAATACTATATAGCGTCGGGTCGGGTACTCAGGTGCAGTCCGTTTTCGACACGTTTTTCGATCGACGCGATCACGCAACGTTTGGGTACATTTGTCAATAGTATTAATAACCAATACAATATAGGTAGGTGCCTAACATATAGATTGCAATGTAGGTACAATATCAACAGTTCAACACCATTTTCACACGTTGCAGTGTACTCATAATGATATGCGGCCGCAACACGACCGGAGATTTCATTAATAGACCGAAAACGGCGAAAACGCGTCGAAACATCCAAACCGACACCCTTCCGTAATAATGAGCACCTACCTACCTAATGACTAATGAGTGTATGGTTGTGTGAACCAACACATTTGCGCGCGTCAGTGCACACAATATTTATGCACACACGCGATATCATGAATTATGATACACTTTAACAGTCGAATACCTATATAGTTGAACATTATTGTAATGATACACTGTAGCCTGTTACGACTTACATCGTCCCGTTCAACCACAAATTGTTTTGTCATTTTTATAAAACCGAATCGTTATTCGTTTGGAAGTCGACTCTGTCCTGGTACTCTGATTTCGAAATCATCGTTGCAAAAAAGTGATAAAAAATAATTTCCATGATTTATTATCATCTTATTTTTATGGAAAATGATTAGATAACAGATGATGGAACTCAAGAGTCAAGACCTTATCACAATCCTACGACTTTAACATTAACTTATGTTCTTATAAACACTTAGTCTATACTGTATAGTGTATACCGTTATACTTGTTATTATTATTATTAATAATATTATTACTCATTACTCATTAGTCATTACTTGTTAATTATGTTTTAAAATTTCGTGCTCGCTTAATCTAAATAATTTATTAGTATAATATATATACAATTTTGTATGTGGATTTATAGAGTAATCGGCAGAAGAGTTTTTAAAGTACATTATGTGGAAGTCGTCTGCTGGAGTCAACATTGAGGTACCGGTTGAGAACACGGATGATGACTGGGAAACTGATCCAGATTTTGTGAACGACGTGAGTGAGGAAGAACAAAGATGGGGTTCACGCACTGTCCCTGGTTCCGGACGTGTATTAGATCATGTCGAGTTAGTCACTTTTGATATTTTTACTGGAATTTTTATTATTTTTTATATTATTTTATTTTTTATTATTTTTTAGTATGAGTCAATTACGAGAAGAAGTGACTAAGGCTCACGAAGTTCAAAAGAAAAAAGAAATGGAAGAAGGGCCTCAAGCAGCTTTTGGATATGGTGGTAAATTTGGTGTGCAATCTGACAGGTATAGTTGTTTTAATATTAAATACATTTTTATAATAAACTGTAATTTGTTGTGTTTTATTAGAATGGATAAATCAGCTGTTGGACACGACTATATTGCACCTCACTTTAAGCACGCTTCACAGACTGACTATAGTTCTGGTTTTGGTGGTAAATATGGTGTTCAATCAGATCGAATTGACAAGGTATGTCTATAAATGTTTTATCTTTGATTTATTTTTAAAATAATATGATTAAGTAGATATTATGTATACTTAAAAATGATTTTATTCATTATATTATTATTGTAGAGTGCTGTCAGTTGGAGTCATAAAGAAAAAGTGGAAAAACATGGATCTCAAAAAGATTATAGTTCTGGTTTTGGTGGAAAATTTGGTGTGCAAGCTGATCGTCAGGATAAAAGTGCTGTTGGATGGGATTATGTGGAAAAATTACAAAAGCACGAATCCCAAAAAGGTATAACTTTTCATTATTATTTTTAATACAATTATTTTAATTACATTTATATGGTCAATAGATTATGCTGTTGGTTTTGGTGGAAAATTTGGTGTGCAGTCAGATCGTCAAGATAAGTCTGCTGTTGGGTGGGATAATGTAGAAACTGTGGAAAAACATCAAAGTCAAGTAGACCACAGTAAAGTAGGTTATTTTAGTAAAATATATTAATTTTTTTATATTATTCGATAACTATATAATAAAATAATTTAATGTATAGGGTTTTGGAGGAAAGTTTGGTGTTCAAAATGATAGGTTAGATAAATCTGCTCATAATTATAATGAAAGTTCTGGTCAGGTTGGGACAAATTATGAAAAACAGAAACCAGAAATAAGTATGTATTAAATTATGTATAATATCTAAATTCTAAATTAAATATTTAATTTATTTTTTGTGCATAATTTTTAAAGTTAATTATTTTATAATTTTTATTATTCTCAGCAAGTATTAAACCATCAAGTCTTAGAGCAAAATTTGAAAATATGGCTAAGCAAGAAGAAGAAGAAAATGAAAAGCGGCGTTTAGTAGAACAAGAAAAAAGAAAACTAAGAGAATTACAAGAAAAAAAGGAAGCTCGTGAAAGAGAAGAAAAACGTTTGAAAGAATTACAAGAGAAAGAAGAACAAAAACGAAAGCTTCTTGATGGTTCAGAAAAAGTTAAAAACACTCCAATTACAGTAAGTATTATATTTAAAAACATTTTTAGAGATGAAATATAATAGTGATGATAAAGAAATGGATATAGTTTTCTTAAACTTTGAATATCAGTACTTAAAACAGTGTTTAGTTAGAGATTAGCTAGCTCTTGAAAAACTATAAATTTTGAAACAAAGTAGTATAGAAAGATACCATCTCTAATAGATGACTAAATTTCATTATAAATAAGAAGATAATTTATGTTAATGTCATGTAATTTTATAGATTATTAAGAGGTCAACTATCATTATTAAATCAATCTTATTTATATCTTTTTGATTTTATTTAGTAATGACAAATTTTAAGGCTTAATATATTGTGTAAAGACTAAATTTTTATCTTTATAATTTAAATAATGATAACAACTTTAAGTGTAACTTTTTATCCAATTAGTATTGATACTAAATAATAATAGTATATAAAAATGGTATTGCCCAATGTAGTACAAATATATTTTATAAGTAGGTACATAAGTTTAAGATATCGATAACTTGATGGAATTTTCATTTCAACATTTAAAAATCTAGATTCTATAATGATGTTTTATTGTAAAATTCTGAATAAACAGAAAACAAAAATTATTAAACCAATAGAGAATATTAGAATGTTTATCCTCATATTTGTTTTTTGTTTTTATTAATTTTTATCTTAGTAAATATATTTTTAAAACAGTTTATTGATTTTACACCATGTACAATAAATTATTATTATTATTAATAATATATGTTTATTCTATAATTTTCCTATGGAGTTTAAAGTTTTTTAGAATTTATAACCTAGATGTTATTAAATATTTATTAATTATGATAATTAATATTATTTTAGAAAATTGATTGTGATGAAGAAGAGTTACCAATATCTAGCGAATTTATTCGTCCTCCAGTTGTTGTTGGTGCAACTATTCAACCATCTGTGAAAAATGATGAGGAAGCATTAAAAAAAATTACAGCAGATGAAGAACGTAAACGAAAAGAAGAACAAGCTAAAATTGAAAGAGAAAATACTATACTGATACAGAAGCTGAAGGAAGATGAAAAAATAAATGAAGAAATAAAGAGACAACACGAGAGGTTAAAATTAGAAGAACAGCAAAAAATGAATGAAGAACTATTAAAAGATAATGAGAATAAAAAAAAGGAAGATTTGGCTAGAGCTGAATTAAAAAAAAAAGAAGAAGAAAAAATTATAGAAAATAAGAAAAAATTAGAAGAAGCAACAAGAAAAAAATTAGAAGAAGAAGCAATCCAGAAAAAACTTGAGGAAGAATCAATAAAGAAAAAACTAGAAGAAGAGTTGGCAAAGCAAAAACTAGACGAAGAGTTGGCAAAGCAAAAACAAGATGAAGAGTTGACTAAGCTTAAATTGGAAGAAGAGGCCAAGAAAAAAGATGAGCAAAATAGACTTGAAGAGGAAAGACAATTAGAAGAACAAAAACTGCATGAGCAACTTAAGAATGGAGCAGCATCTGAAGAAGATCCAGAAGGTGGATATATTGCTGTGGCTTTATATGATTATCAAGCATGTTAGTATAAATTTTAAACTTCATATGTGTTTTAATTATTTAGTTTTTGAACATGATTGTCATACATTTATTTTAATTAATAATTTTTATACAATTACTTAAATATATATTATAAAAAAAATACCTTAGTTTAGATTTTTAGATTAGGTGATTAATATATGATTATTTATTTTTTTAATTATTTTTTAGCTGCTGATGATGAAATAAGTTTTGATCCCGATGATATTGTGACAAACATTGAAATGGTAAATACTTAAAATTATAGTATAACCTTAATAAATGTATTTAACTACATAATAATATGTATTGTATGTATATATAAACAATAAAATAGAATTTAAGTTAAAAGTGTGTTTAATACAGATATAAATTTAAGGTTGTATTTAAATAAATAATAATATTCGAATTAATATTTTTTATGAATATTATAAGTTGTAACTTAACTTTTTTCAGATTGATAAAGGTTGGTGGAGAGGATTATGCAAAGGTCAATATGGTTTGTTTCCAGCCAATTATGTTGAAATTATTAATTAGTATAATTATTGCCAGTAATTATATTTAAGTGTTTTAAGTGATCGAGCAAGTTATAATGTAAAGTCTAACCAACAAAACAAAATCATATGTAATATAATATTTATAAATAAATTGGTTTCCAATATTATATTTAATTTTTACTATTATTTGATAATTATCATATAGCTTCCAAAATATTGTTTATTGCATCATAAGTCTTAAGTTCTAATTAAAATGAAAAACAAAAACACTTGAATCGAAACATTAATAAATAACTGAAATTTATAAAAAAAATTGATTTTTAATACAATTATTCATAAAACAATATGTATGTTTTTTATTTTGTTATAAATTATCTTATCTGCTCAATGTACTAAAACTAATTTTTTGATTCTTACATAATTTATTTTCAATATTTATTTATCTAGTATATTTTATCAATATTATTGTATTATGTTTTATTTTATTTAAATATTAGTTTATTATATATTTAAATATTTTTATTGTGATATTTTTGTTAAATAATCAAAATTATACAATTTTTTTTTATAATTTAAATTATTACTCAATAATTGCAGAATAGTACTAACTTATATTTTATGTATTATTAACTTAAAATAACCAAGTGTAAGGTCATAAGAAAAGTAGTAAAACAGGTTAATGTTAATAAAACTTTATATTACTTTATATGTGACATTATAATTTATATAATTTTATATCTGATTACTTTTGCATTATATATTTTTTAAACATTTAAAAACTGTTTAATTCTGTCACATACAAATTGTCCAACGATAATTGATGTTCTGCGAACACTGCCAAATATATATATATATATATACATACACATATATATGTATAATATAATATATGTATATTTAAGAATACATTAGTAAAACCAGTTTGACACCCCGAAACATAATTTATTGTTTAATCTTCAAGGCAATGGCACTATACGGCACATAAAAAAAATAATAATAATAATAATAAATAAATTAGAAGTAGTGAGAAGGAATTTATTTTACGTTGCAGTCTTCTTATGGTTGAATAGCTTATACAATCAACTCCACATAATTCGATACCAATATCGATTACAATGAAATTTGTGAGTATTTTATTTATATTTTTAGACTATATTAAATACTTGATAAAAATCTAATCTTATTTTGAAATTATTGTATTTTCTAGGTATTATTATTTGTAATTGGTTGTTTAATGCTTAATTTAATTGAATGTAACCCAGTAGAATTAGTGTCTCTAACAAATAAAAGAGATGACTCTGGTCAATTCTTATCACGGTAATGTATTGATATTTAATAAATATACTAAAATAATGTTTTTTACTTTTAATTAAATATTTAACAGTTATAAATTGGATGATGGTACTGGAGAAGAGAAGATGGGTAAACTATTATCAAATAATGGAGAGGATGCTATTCTCGTTCAACGAGGTTCATATACTACAAATGTCGATGGGCGACTTATAACATACAATTGGATAGCAGACACAAGAGGTTTCAGGATCTCAAAAGTCTAATAAACAATAAATACAATTTTATAATTTTTTAATACAGTATTAATTATACTTGTATAATTACCTTAAAATTAAAACTATTACTATAAAAATTATCTACTCATCTATTTTGAATAAAAAATATTGACTGTTTTTTCACATCGTTTACATAAATTATTTTCTTTTTCTGCTGACCATCTACGGCATCGTTTGCATAAAATTTGCTTTGTGTCACTTGTTTTTAAATCAAGTGTATCATTAAGAACTAAATCAATTGAACTTACTTGAAGTAATTCAATTAATTCAGATCTTGTAGCATTGTTTTTGGGATGCAAAATCTAAAACAATTAAATATTAATTTTTTATTACTTGTTTATTTGAATTTTTTTTTTTCATCATGGAATGAAGCATAATTTTTTATATTTAGTAAGTGAGTAGTGCACAACATTTTAATACAAATTGTATAGAATGAAATGTTTTAATACTCTTAATTTATTGATCTAAAATAATACTATAAGAAGTACAAGAAAAGTTGTTTAACCCAAAAAAATCTAATCTATAACTAACCTTCATTTATACACCATCTTAAATGAAAAATGTTGTTAAATGCCATGTTATAAATACTCGATGACCATGACTTACCAGAAACATTAATTGATTAAATAATTTAAAAACTGCTAATAATATTAAATTCTGAGTCGAAAAATGAATGTATTTATTTTACAACAACAAATTTTATATTTTTGAGTTTACGTATTTTATAGATAGTAAATACTACAGTGCATTTCAAAATATTTAAAAAAAAAACAGACATTTTTATATTTTTAGCATAACATAATTTAAAATGTTAATTTGTTGTAATCCAAAAACTAATGAAACTAATAATTGTAGAAACTTGAAATTTTCTTCAAATATTCATAATTTAATAGACATGATAAAATACTAAATTTGGTTCTTTGGAAATATTACTTCTGTTTATAAATATATCAAATTTTTAATATTTTTCAATGACCTACTCCATGGATTCATTCAATTCCCAGATTTTTATTTTTGATAATATTTTAAATAATTGTTCTTTTAAACTATTATTTTTTACATTAAAATATTTTTAATTAATAAAATAAGCAAAATATTACATATTTACTTTTAATAAATTGAATGTCTTGTTAGGTGATGCAATAACTAGCGATTGTTCAAGTGAATTTTTTCCTTGTAATAAATTGGATAATTTATTTTTAACCATTAAAGCATTTTCCATGATTGATATTACGTGTTCTGAGTCTGGAATCACTATTTGATTTAAATTCACAATGGACGATTTAAAAAATGTAGTGTTTCCTAAAATAAGTTGGAAATTACAAAAATTAATATTTCTTTAAAAATATTGAAGATTTAAAATTACTTTTAAGAGGATAGTAAGAAAATGCTTCTTCAGCTAAATGAGGTAAAATTGGTGCTATATTCTTGAGAAGAATTTCTAATATAGCTTGTAATGTTGCCGTACATGCAAGTCGGTCATCTGATTCTATAGAATCACAATAGAGCCTAAGAATAGATAGTATAATTAACACAATTAATTTTATTAGAGACTTATATCCTTTTTTTACTGTACCTATCTTTTATGTGATGTACATATAATCCAGAAACTTGATTTGTGATAAAGTGTAATATTTTAGCACATACTTTATTATATTGAAATGTATTATACAGTTCATATATTTCATTTTCAAATGATTTGAGTTCCAACATCATATATTTATCTAAATATTTTAGATAATTTATACCATGCATAAAATTATTATCTTTGATATTATTAAGTGAACCAAGTAAAAAACGTATAATAAGGCGAAGCTTATCAATTGATTGTTTGCTATGGTTCATGGTTTCTTTCGTAACTGGAATGTTTGTTTGATGTGATCCGTGTTTAGCAACCCACCATCTAATAATGTTTTACAGAAAAGTACAAAAATATTATTTATAAATAACTTAATTCAAAGTTTTAATTAGTCTACCTGAGTATGTCAATTCCATTAATTAATTTATCATAATTTCCATTTACTATGTCTTGAGGATCAATTACGTTCCCGATAGATTTAGACATTTTTCTACCGTTCTTATCCACAACAAAACCATGTACAAACAAAGACCTTAGTAATAAAAGTGTTCTAATTAATATTTAATATTAATTTTTAAGAGAAAAAAAATTGTATTACTTAAATGGTGAAACATTTCTAAGGGCAATTGATGACATAAGAGATGCCTGAAACCAACCAGTGCATTGATCAACACCTTCCATGTACAAATCAGCAATTTTGTTATCGCCTAATACACAGCTCCACGAAATGCCACTATCAAACCAGATATCTAGAATATCCTGTAATAATATAATAACAATGAGATATTTAAATAATAATTAAAAAATTCATAGACATGAACACACAAGTCCTTTTTTTAATTTTTCTGGACTGTGAGGTGTGTTTGAAACCAACTTCTGAACATCATGAATCCACCAAAAATCTTGCCCTGTTTTTTCTAAAAGTGTATGGTACTGGTCTAATAATTTTCTGGAAAAAATATAATAACATATAAATTTTGAGTAAAAGTATAAAAATTTAATTATTTACTCATCTATAATTGCATTATCTGATTCGTCATATAACACAGGTATGGCTACACCCCATGAACGTTGTCTGGAAATACACCAATATGGACGTTTTTCAATCAATGCCAAAAGAGCATTACGACTTCCACCAATTTCAGGATAAATTTTAATATCTTTCAAACATTCCTTAGATTATGAAAAGATATGAAATACATTTTTGAAATTTAATTAAACATTACTATAATATTATTAAGTAAAAAGGTAATAAGAACTTAACAAATGTTTATTCAGGGTTTTTATTTCAGAAATAATGGTTAGTTGAATAATAAAATCAATTTTAAATACATATCTAGTATTTTTAGATTTAAAATTAGAAATATTAATATTAATTTTATAAATTAATTATTTGTTGTATTAGTTAAATATGCTATTAATTACCCACAATGTGTTTACTTTTATTTATAAATCATTAAAATTTATATTTTTAATTGTTTTTAAAATTTAACTGTTTTCTGGTCACATAAGTTTAATATAGGAATACTTTCATGGTTTTTGGAAAATTATTATAATATTTCTGAGATAATTTTATTAAAATAAAAATTATTTTTTTTTTTTTTTAAACAAGAAATATACAATCCGTACCCTTGGGCACAATAAGAATATGTGATATAATATTTTATTTGACATGAAAACGTGAGGGAAGAAGTCACCCAGCACTCCCTATTTGTTTATTAATAATTTTTTTAAATAAAAATGAAAAAAAATAATTTTAATATAAATTACTATACAAATCATAAGCATATTTGTCGATAAAATATGTAGTACTTAGCAAACTTAATGAATACTCAATTTGTATTAGATAAATATTTACAATTGATTGGTTTTTAATTGCAGCTGTATCCAAAAACCATTGTTTACTGGCACGAACTATCACAGGTAATTTGGTGCGCCAATCATAAGGATAACTATGTTCATATATTTCTGTATGCAATATTTTATCGCTTAATAATGAGCATACAGTTTCATTTCCAACACCTAAAACGGGTAAACCTATAAGTTCTGACCATGTTTGTGGCATAAAAATACCATGCTCATCCACATGACATTCCTGAGAAAAATTAATTAGTAATTACATATTATTTAGTATTTATTGTTTAGAGATTTATAAGATATGAAATACTTTTAGATTCTTACAATGGGTATTTTATGTTTTAATGCAATTAAAAAATCTTCATGTCCATATGCCGGTGCTGTATGAACTAATCCTGTGCCTTTGTCTGTGGTCACATGATCACCAGCCAAAAATGTTTTATCACTTTCGCCATACCTTAAGCTTTTGTATTTTAAACCACTGAGATGTTGACCTATAAAGATATTCTATAAACTTATACGAAAATAAATTAACAGTTAATTTATGATACATACCTTTAACAGTTGTGATTATTTCAATAGATTTTTTTATTTTGGTACTTAAATTGTTTACTAAATCAGTTGCTAGCAAATAAATACCAAGAGTATCATGAATTTTTATAAAAGAGTATAATAAACTAGGTGAATAAACAACAGCAATATTTCCTGGTAATGTCCATGGAGTAGTAGTCCAAATAAGTGCATAAATTGGTTCACTGTTATTATTGATTAAATCTATTGAAATAGTAGATGGACATAGCTCAAGTTTTACAGTGACTGATTTACTTTGATGATTAGGGTTATACTCCAGTTCTGCTTCAGCAAGTGCACTTCTACAAAATTATAAGGTAAGCTAAATATTGTAAGATACTCAAGTAAAATTGATAGATTGTTACTTGGACGAAGGTGACCAGTAAACTGGTTTGAGATCTCTATAAATTAATCCCTATAAATAATAAGTTATTAGTATTTTTAAATGTTTATAGGAGACATATTATACAGTATTACTTTTTTATATAGCTTAAAGAATTGTTGAATTTGCTTTAGAACATACTTTTTATCATAGGTATAATAACAATTGTTTTCCCAATCAGCAAGTATACCCCATGACTTAAAAACAGTTTTTTGTTTTTCTATTTCTTTTAAAGCATATTTTCTAGCTGAAAAATATTTATACATTTGTATTAAAGTCTTCAAAATGTCAATTATTAATCTAAGACATTTTTTTAATAAGGATAAATTAATGTTATAACTTCGCACCACTTCTTCGTACTTCTAATGGACCAAAGTTTTTCCATTTATTTCCATAAATTTTTTCAGCTTTTAACTCGATGGGTAAACCATGACAATCCCATCCTGGTATATAATTTATTTTATTTCCATTTACAAGTTTATAACGTATAGTAATATCTTTAAGTATCTACATAAAATAATAAATATATAATTTAAAAAATTAAATATGGTGAATAAAGTAATAAGTTACTTTATTTATTGCATGACCCATATGTGCCGTGCCATTTGCATACGGTGGTCCATCATGTAAAATATATTCTTCATTGTTTATATGTTGCCTTTGCCAAGAATATAGTTCAGAAAAACCACATGTCTACAGTTATGATAATTTTTATTTAATTTGTATTATAACATAATTTATTTATTACCTTAAAAATATGGCTATCTCTTTGAATAGTTTGATCTGCATTCAACCGATTTTTAAATTTGGTTGCAGGCAAGAATACCGATTTTTTTAATAGTGTTGTTTCATCGGAATAAAAACGATTAATTAAATGAAAACGATATAGATATTTTTTGGTTACAGAAGTTATACTATACATGATAACTGTGGCTTGTTCTTTAATTGTATAGTTTTAATAGAGAGATCGTACAATACTCTACATATCTAATGCTCATTAAAAGCAAATTAAACTAATGTAAATACATAAAAAACATTTGTTATTATTTAAGAAGGAAATTTCTGGAAAATCGCATTTGCTCTTTTAGGCTTGTAAACTGTAAAGTGTAAAGACTGAGACTAGCCGGATTGTTTGATAAGTGTTATCATAAGCACGTGCTATAATAATATGATATGATAAAAGCTATTTAAAAATAATATGTATGTTATATATTCTATGGTTATACATAGCGATGGACAAAATAATAGATTTATTTACAGGTCCATGTCCTATACTCCTATGATTATTTTATGGTATGATAACGATCAATACCTATTCAAAAATAAGTAAAAAACAGGTTTAATTATTATTTTAATTTTCTTGTCTTTTATAATACGAATAAAAGATTCTATCATATTTTTTTACCCAATGCTAATTCTAAATACTCGTTAATAATATTTGGTTTGGTAATACTTAACTAAAACATTTTTACCATTATTATTATTGTTATAATATAGAATGTTGAATGTTAAATCACTTATATCTATAAACGGTATAAACTATAAGCTATAAATGAGTTTGCGGAGATAATAAAAACTCAAAACAAATGGTTAGTTGTTAGTTGATTGTTGAATACGTCATAAATGACGTTTGTTCATTGTCAAAATGATCAGAGATTTGTATTAAAAATGTATTATCAGGAGTACCAGAGACTTACTCTATGCATTAAACCGATGAAAGTCAGTGATAGGAGCAAACATTTAAGTAATCACAAATCAGTTGACTCTTGGTAATCCCGCGAAAACGCCCTTTATGTAGGTACTCCTTTAAGGAAGAATAAACATTAAGCAGTTCACAGTTTAGTTGCTACTTACTGGATATTAAACTTGGGTCAAGATGGTCTTACAAATATTAAGTACATGTCAAAATGTAGTAAGTCAATCTAGAGATGTGCAAATTATTTCATCAAACATTCCAAAATTGGCTCAAAAGGTATTTAATTGTATTTGTTATATTTATCACATTAATATTTTATCAATATTTGGGTTTATTCTATCCATCTATTTTCATCGAGAATAAAAATATTAACTTATTAATTGTTTTTAAGTTTTGAATAATATAATTAATATTGGACCAGTTAAATATAGTTAAATAATAACAGTAAAATTAACAAACCACTTATATTATGTAATTTATTAACCTTATAATTTAAGTACTATACTACTATACTTTAAATAAATGAATATCCAACACAATTTTTATATTCGAGGTATTTTTAATAATATAGTACAGTAGAAACTCATTAAATTGTCAATGTCAATGGATTAGACTATGATGGCGATTTTACACATTTTTTTTATTAGCTAAAATAATTAATAAACATTAGATAATAAGCCTTAATAAGTAATAGTTCTTACTGTTGAGGTACAAACACTATAAAATCAAATCTAACTATTTAAACTTTGAAAATGTATAATCACTAATCAGTAATTAATATTACATACTATATAACTATTATTTGTTTGCTAATTTTTAAATATTTTTGAATACTTTTTAATTTTTCTTTTAGATTTATACATTAATAGAAGAAGATAAACTAACTCTTGATGAATTTAAAAAATGTCCATTACATCCAAAAAATGAAGATGAAGAAGCAATCAATTGGATATTTATTGTTGATTCTTTGAATTTTTGTTTTTTTGATCCTAACAATAAATCGCATTGGAGTGTGACTTGGAAAAATGAAAAACACACAGGATATTTTGGTTTGTGCGCTGCTATCAATAGAGCTATAGAAGTTTGTTAATATTTTAAAAATAATTATATTTTAAACATTAATTATTAAAAAAATTTTTCTATTTTTATAGAAAGGGATAAATATGATTGATATGAATACATGTTTGGAATTAACAAAAAAGCAATTAGATGAAATATTACTGGGAGATGATGGAGCAACTCTTCCACTATTACAAGAAAGGTATTTGTGTTTACAACAATCCGCAGATGTTTTATTAAAAAAATATAAAGGTATGTTGTTCAAATTAATTCTATAATTTTATCTTTTGCACAATTATGCAGACTTGATATTTTTAATTTTAATTTATTTTGTTAGGAAACTTTGTGAATTGTATATTAGAATCAAATCATTCTGCTCAGAAATTATTAGAAATCATTTCTGAAAATTTTTTTCATTTTAGAGATGAATCTATTTATAACAATCAAACAGGTAATATTATATATTATTATTTATTAAAGTATTGAATAAAATACACACACTATATTTAAATAATGCTAATTTTTTTTTTAAGTTGCTATTTATAAAAGAGCTCAGATTTTGATTGCTGACATTTGGTCATCATTCAGGGGTTCTGGCCTTGGCGAATTTCATGACATAGATACTTTAACCATGTTTGCAGATTATAGGTAAAATACATATTACAGTTTTATAAGTTTTATTATGAATTTTTTAACAAATTTGATCTTGTGTTGAATTATAAGTTAGATAAATCTCTAAGTGTAGATGAGTATTACTAACAGCTCCACCAATGTCAGTTTAAAATTATATTATATACAATTAAAATCTGAGATGGAAGTATTAATAAACAGTGAATTAGTTAAACTTAGATGTGGGATAAATTACATGTACTTATATCCAAATATTTATAACTTTTATAGCTAAATGATACATCTTATAGACTATTATTGCACATCATGACACCACCTACCTAAATTAGATATTACATCCTCAATACTTATAAATAGTAATTGGCATCATTATTTACTTAATATACAGAATTTATATTCATTATAGAGTCCCTCAAGTTTTATTATACTTTGGTGTTTTGAAGTATTCAGATAATTTAAAAGATACTCTCAAACAAGGTAAGGAGCTTATTTATTTAAAAATGTATTGTATATATTACATTATTTATTTTTAATATTATTAATCATAACTTAGGTATTCTTCTTGAGCATGGAGCTTCAGAAGAAGTGGAAATTAGAGCAGCTTCTATTGTAGCAGTTGATGATATTGTAAATGAGGTGAAAAAAATAATGGCAGAAAAAAATATACATAAGATTTGTAATTCTATTATGGTTGATACTTTTTTATGGGGTTATCGAAGAGAAAATGCTGCAATGTTGGAAGACACACCATACCATAAGACATTAAATATTTATTATTAAAACTATGTTTTGTGTAAATTAATTTTGCTTTTTGATAATTTGTTGCTAGTATACAGCAAATAATTAAACATTGTCATTTTTTTAAATAATAAAAAAAATAAATATAGTATTTTGACTTCTGAAATTTTATAAATTGCATAATATTTCAATCAGTTTCATTTAAAGTCTTACAAATTTGAAATCCTTTTAATTATATTACTATAAATCTAAGAATAGTAATGAAATAAGAATTGCTTAAGAATTGTATCTTTTTATTTTGGTATTAGGTATGTAACTTATTACCAGTAATTACTAATGTATTTATTTTTTAAAAGTTCTTAAGTAGAATACTAAATAATAGAAATAAACATTAATGATTTCTTTTTTTTTTTTATCAGTAATTAGTTTTTGATGTATGCTTACATATTTCGGTTCTGGTTTTAGATGATAAATGTAGTAGGATCATTGATTATAGAATTATAATTATAATATTAAATTATATTATAATATTATTAATATAATTAATAATCAATGAGTAGGATGCAGAAGTTTGTGGATGTTAGTGGTGTGTATGTTGGAACCTTGAAGGTCCTAATGCCAAACCGAAACTGTATTCCTGTAATAGTTTCGTCAATTATCCCTATTAAGTAATGACCTAATCCCTTTCTTATTTCTTTTCTGTAATTGCAATTCATGAATTATCTATGCTAATCACAGATCCTACAGTCTAGTTAAAATATTCTATAGCATCAATCATCAGTATTTTATATAATGAGTAACTATTTAATAAATTTAAAATAATACATAAAATGTATATTATAAAGATTCACTGACGTATAAAAATTATTTTATAATACTTTTACATAATTTAATATGAGGAGAGAGGGTGTGTAATAATTAAATTATAAATAATGAACAAAAACAACTTTGGCGCGTATAATGCTAATTGCTATTATAAATTATAATAGTAATAACGTAATCACGTTATTCGAAGTTTCGGTTAATCAGTGTGGCCTGGTTCAAGGTTCGAATTAGCCCTTTTTTTTTAAATCGGTAATTTTTTATTGTTTTGTTTCCAAGCCGTGTGATGTTTTAAACGCCTTGATTAAACACCGTTGATCGATTTTTCGATCCATGAGCGGACATAGGTAACATTGATGACTATACTTACGCAATAGGTGCATGGATAAAATGGTTATACCGGTCCAATGTTGCCGGTAACATTGTGTGACGTCAATCGCAGCGCTTTGATCTGCGATACCTGTTGTCCTCGGATCCTAGTCCGGTTTAGGCCTTTGTACACTATATAACCAAATTTTTTCTTTTCTAATTATTTCGGTTTTTTTTTTTTTTTTTTTGTTTTTTCACTGTCGCTAATTTTCTGTAACGAAGTATCGTTAAGTGTTTTGTATGCCTCTTGATCGGTGTCTGCGTCGTTCGCGATAGGTTAGATAGCAGACGACAAGTGAAAACGCGACTGACCGCTGAACGAACGTATCCGTTCGTCGACTTCATCGAGATGTCATCGAGACGGGACGAAAGAAAACACAAACACGCGTCGAAAAGACACGAAGAGTGAGTGTCAATATAATCAAAACTTAGATAGGTGTTTTTGTAGATATCTCTTTGTACTTACTGTTTAGGATTGCGGTAGATACTATCGATAGGTCTACCTGTTGTGAAGTCATTGAAATGTCGGTACTGATCCGACTTGCGCTTGTTGATCGAGTTTAGTTTTTATTTTTCATTTACGTATGTCGCTGTTATATTCATTGAATACTGTCAATTGTAAGAGTTTCCGGTATTATGACGATTTATTTCGTTTTAACACTATGTTAAATTCAACGATTTTGCTTGTTATGCTAATTATAAATGTCCTTGTCTACTATCTAAACCCAGTAAAACAGTTTGTTTTAAATCTTTAATGTAAACGAATGAAGTTATGCTGTGTAAGTTTTCGTAATATTTTTTTGCTATGAATTTTGTGTAACTTGCAATATAAGAGTACCTATTTATGAGGCTATAGAATTATGTATACTTTTATTACACTTATGAAAATGGAGTGTATTATTGATTAGGTGCCTAAGTAAACAATTTAATTGCTGCAAATTAATTTAATTTCAGTTTTAGTTTGTATTCAATTAATTCAATACTTTTGTGTAATCTTGTCTTATATCTACATTTTTTTTGTTTACTAATATTTGATTTCACCACTTATTTTTGTCACATTATTAATATAATTGATAGGAAATTACCATTTGTTGAGATTAGTTAAGTTAATTTATATGACTATTATTTTTTTTTTTATACCTTGGAAATTTAAGTGGGTATTGGTTAAGCAGTTAAGCTATATACCTCACTTTTGCTTGGAAAAAATAAATAAATATAAAATACAGCACTTGATGTATCTCGGTTTTAGTATGCATTAGTTTACAGACAAATCGTTAATAGCGTTCTTTGTTTTGTTAATTAATTTTACCGAGATAGGTCACCCACCTGTTAAGTATGCTTGGTATATTTTCAAACATAATTTAAATTACTCTCTTAACTTAAATTATATTTCTAAAAAGAATCTCTGAAACTTGTCAAAATTGGTCAAGTATTTTTTTGAGCTAATAAACTAAATACAAGGCTAAAAATATATGGAAATCACACTTTATTGTTTATTTCAATGACAAAAATAAATAAATTATTATTATTATTTTTTTTATCGTAAAACAGCATTCTCATAACTTTCTTTTTTAAATTTTATTTTTAATACTAACGATAATTCTATTTATAAATACATTTTTATAATATTTTTATAAGCCACTCTGGACTAATCTAAGGATTGAAGAAATAAGTTTAAATCACCTTTTGAGTTTCTAGGAATCTAATATTTCTAATTTTTACTAAAACCAGTGCAATAGTTTTTGCGATTAGCACATTCAACATAATTCTTTATTTTTATAATATTATTAAAGATTGTAGATAAATTTATTATTTAAAACTACTTATATCTATAACCTTATAGATAGTATTCAATCATCAAAATTATATTGATATATTTTTTACAATCATTCTCATTGTTATAATATATCAGCTCTTGATTTTACTCCTAATAGGTATAAACCTTTTTAAACTATTGTCAACTTTTAAGTTCCTTATCTCAGTAAAGTAGTACTGTACTATTTAACCAATGTAATTAAATTTTTTCAGTGTTTAACCCTATCATCTAATATATATAATATATAGTGTCATGTATATGAAAATTTTCTTTTATTCCTAATTATGATAAGTTGTTGATTAGCTGTTCATTTTTCTTATGGAACTTCACTCTTCTGAAGATTTCTCTAAAATGTCTACTTATTTCTATTTCAAAAATAAGATTATTTTGTACTACTTAATGTATTTTTAATGTCTTTACCAATACAATTAGTTGACTGAAAGTTAAATATAATCATTTATTTAGATTTTTTGATCCGAATTAGTATATTTAATTATTTGGTTATTCACAATAACATGTATACTTTGGGCTTGGAAAATTCCTTTAAAAAAGGAATTAAATCATATTCATCTGTTATAAAAAAACTAAATTGTTTGTCATTGCTGCCTTAAAAAGGATCTACCTAGTTCCTTTTCATTGTTTCTAAATAAAAGTGCATATACTGCAACAGTAGCTGTAAAATTCTATTTTTCAACAAGGCAATAAATTGTTTTTCACTGTATTTTAATGCAACAGTGTGTGGAGTTACTTAATTATTTTAAAATTGAATTTATATGATTTTTAATAATAAATAAGCAAGTCAATTTATAGAGATATTAAAACATATAATTTTAAACTTAGCAAATAACAACTAAAAATTATATTTAGTTTTCATAATAATACTTTTATTATCTCAATATTTACTAATTAAATTAAAAACATTGAACTAGTATACAATATGCATAGTTATAACTTCAAATGTTATGTATCAAGGTTTAATTTAATTTAATTTTAGTACTAATTTTTAATAGAAAAATTATTTAAATTTCCTATTTTTAAGATTTAATTAATAAAAATAATTGTTCTATTTCTCTAAGAAATTAATAAAATACCTTATATTTCATCATATAATTAGAGAACTATGTCTGAATTAGTCCTTGAAAATTGAACAAAATTGTTGAATCCGTTATTGTATTACTAATAATTGTTAATTGTGATCGGTCAGTGTAATTAAAGGCAGTGTGAGGTAGTGATTTGCAAACTTGGACAAGTTTTAATCAAAGCACAGGTATTTTTTCTTGTGGGCCAGGATATACCTATATAGTTTATAGTAATCAACAGACTGATTCTTAAATAAATTGAGAGTATCATTTAGTAACAATAAATCTGATTTATCTAAAGTAGTAAATGAAACTGACTTACTTACCAAAATTGATTCTTATTTTAAATTATAAACATGATCAAAACTTTATTTTTAACTTTTCTGAATCACTCTTGCTTCTTAGGAGACACCTTTAATTAGCATACCTATATAACATAAAACATAATATAATATAATATGTTTGTAGTTCAAGTAAAATAAACCCGAGTAAAGCTAAACAATTCTCCATTGTATAATTTAATTATTAATTAAAACTGGTTTCCTGCATGATGTAGTTTTTGTATTAAAAATTAAATTCTAGTTCTCACAATTTTATTAAATATGCTAAATGTGAGAGATATGTGGATTTGGTATCAAATTATGCTTTCAATTATAATGTATATTACACTTATTCAAGTTAAGAAACACAATCGAAAATACCAGTGCACAAAGATGTGACTAGATTACATTATGGCAGGTATTATGAATGGTTGACCAGTGGGAATGACAAATTAGTGTTACCTGACCTCTGGTCAACAAAAATTGGTTGCCACTGACTCTGTTTTTTTAATTTAAATAGAATACCTATAGTAACTTAATTTATACCTGTTAAAATTGAAAATTTTCTTATTTTAGATTCTGAAAATTAGTATTGATTTTACAATTAGATTTTTTTTTCTTTTGTTTTACATCATATTTTAGAGCAGTTAATTTGCTTCAATCGTCAACATCAAATGTGGTCGCAAATTTG